TCCTTGATTTGCAGTGCTGAGAAGAAGTATCTGTTGCGTCCTCTGATACATGATTGGTCTTCTTAGCAGATACATCCAGGGTCACTTGTGTAATGACATGAACTTGGTGGAGTTGACAGAGTCTTGTCTTTGGACGAATGGTGATGACTCTTGCAGACAGGTAGCAGCATCGAACTGGTATTCTGGATAACTTCCCATGTTTTCCAACTTCAACTAGGCGTGGACAAACAGGCAAACCTGTATGCATGTTGTATTCAACTTCAAGATGTTCAGTAACAGCAGTGTAATTCCCTGGACTATGACGAATAACTCCACTGAGGGTGACCATCTGATTTGGCTGAATAATGATAGGTTTATTATTGGTAGACATGACTGTTCCCAGAATGCCATTGTAACTAATTGAATCCAGAGCAGGAGTCCATTCCTTGGGTAATCTCTTTCGTGCTTCCTGGTTTCTGGATTTTAATCTCTTGAGAACATTGATGCTAATCACGGCAGGGATGTCCTTGTTGTATTTTGTATCCTTGGTTATTAATATAGGAATCTGCAATTCGACATCATAGCAAGGAATGTAGATTGATACATCAATGTATCCAGAGTAAGGTATGTAAGTGTCTCCAGCTCCAGTTATTTAAAGTTCAAACTCAGCTAGGGGCCAACATTCAATCTCTGATAATGTAGAGTTGTGAAAGGCTTGACTGACAGTTCTAATCTGGGATCCTGTATCTAAAAGTGCAGAACATTTTATGCCAGCGATGACTACTTGAGTTTCATTAGCCTCTCCGATCATTCTGTCATGTAGATCTGTTGGGTTAGGGTTATCGCTTCCATTGGCCTATACTAGCCCTTCAGCAGTAGACCATTCTAGTTTAAAGATCCACCACGTCTCCCACGTCCAAGTCTACCACGACCTCTGCCTCTAACTGGGATACCTGTAACTGTAGAAGAATCCTTCTGGGCTTCTTATACTGAAAGTCCATCCAAGATCTGCTTCAGAAGTTTGTTGTCCGTCTGGGGCTGTTGCTTTGGTTGCGCTAGTTCAAGCTTGTCCAATCTCTTTATAACGTCTGATATATAGCTGCTGAGATATCTTGGCAGAATAATCTGTATCTGGTGTGGGGTTCCTATCCATGACGTGTGGTTGCTGTTGGACCTTGGATCTCATCCTTGGATGTGGCTCTTCTTGCATCTCACGTTCAATTTCTCTTGTGGTCTGCAGAAGATCCTCGAAATCCTGTCCTGAGTAAAACGAAGGTCGGGTAGCATTCTTTAATGTTTCGCGAAATAATCCACTCCAGAATTTATTTCTCAGAATACTGTCTCTCGACGTAGCATCCATGTTGCTTCCTCTATCTGTGGTTCTCTGTAGTAGGGTTTCCAATCTAATTCCCCATGATGCAACTGATTCAGATTCCTGTTGACGAGTCATGTAGAAAGCTTGTATCAGTGATTCCGGATTATCCACAGTGCCATATAGTCCTTCCAGTTTCCTCACGATAGTGTCAACTGTAGCCCTCTCACCTAGTGAAAGAAGAACACTTGATGCATCACCTTTGAGGGACTTCCTCACACCCTGAGACGGAATAGCAGGTGGGTAAGCATCATCTCGAATAAGGCATCTTACTTCCGATTTCCAAGTTTCAAATGATGACTCCGTTTTCGGTACGGGGGTTTCTCCGAAAAAGTGGGAAATCCTAGGCAACTGAAATTGGTACATCTGCTTGTTGAGAGATCCTCTGTATTCGTATGGTGATCTATTTGAAGGGACATGTTGATCAGTGGTGTTTCCAGGTTGAAATCCTAGATGTCTTGGCGTGATGGGCTCCCTTTTATGTACTGGGTAGATACGTTGCTTTGGTGAAGCAAGAAGGAAGGGGGTACAGGATGAATGTTATACCGGCCAGTGGTAGTGAGATATGCTAACATCTTCTGTTCGTCTTCCTGTGTTATGGGCTTGTCATCATTCTCAACTTATTTCTTCGACATAATACAACACATTAATGCCAGAAATCTTGATTATCAGATTCGAAACAGATTCCATAGGGTGTACCATCTGGTACTGATGACACCAGGTGTTAGCGAAAAAGGTAAATGTGTCCTAGTCTACCGGACGCATCTGCCACTCACACAATCAAGTGATGTGGACCATACAATCCACCATCTTCCCGAGGCAAGAGAGTTAACTGACTATAAAAGTCCAGTTTCCACCCTTGCCGAACTAGGCTGGCATTATGGAGTTACATTTTGGCTGGACTAATGAGTCTATGCATACTCCAATCAAAATCGCGCAACGAGATTGAAATCCGGTTCCTGAACTGTCGTGCAGATTTCGCTCGATTGCCGGATTTGCAAAGCATGTGCACCGCCAACTCGTTGTCAACAGATATTTTCCAAATGTTTTCATGTTTTTAATCAAGGTGCTCACGTGATTTGCATTTCGCGATGTAAGACCCGTTTTATCACATTATAGATCTTGATTATCGATCATATCGTCTTGACTGGGCGCCGCTATTTTGTTTGAAGCAAGTGATACGAGAAGCGGAATATGATTGGTCCATCGGAGAGGCTTAGAAGGGACATAACTCTTAATAGCCACTGGTGGCGCTACATCCAGTCCAGGAATTCCAGCCGAGTGCGGCAAGGGTGGAAACTGGACTTTTAAAGTCAGTTAACTCGCTTGCCTCGGGAAGATGACAATCCACTGACATGATAAAGATCAGAAGTCTTTGTTCGGTGGTGGTCGGTGTTGTGACGTCTGGTGGTTTATGCGTTCGTTCGTCATGTCGAAGGCCTTTTCAAAATACATTTTCTAAAATGGGTACAATGTATAAAGCACATTTCATGATGCACCCGCCGTGATAATAGATGGCATATTGCTTAAAGTGGCGTCAATCCCAACTCAGTCACTCACTTGTTCGGTGCATACAAACGTTTAAACCTGCATGCCTCTTTTGAAACCTGGCTGACTGAACTAGCTATTCTCCGGACAGTGCAAAAACAGCGGGCTTAACATCGTTGTGTGCCCCTCTACATCCATGCCAAGATCTGCTGGTAGTTATCACGAATCTCTCAGGCGACGATTATGATCCATTATTTCATACCACCACATAATGCTCGTGCATGTAAAGAAAATCGTAAAACGTATTTCGACGTATCTCTGGGATTTCTTCTCACGTTCATTAAGCTGACATGGCCCATTAAACTGAAATACTTTCAAAAACAGGCGTAAAACCCCTTCGCCACCGGGAGACATACTGACAAATACCTGTTTCATAGTGCTAGCCCACTGAGAAAATTCACTCTGTTTAATACCGACTCCGAGTCGACCAGTCCTTGTTTAATCCTCCTTTTGCCGAGCGCCAGGCAAGGTAACAACAAGTACCATCGTTAAACGTCTTTTGGTTCGACGCGACCGGGGATCGAACCACAGACTTGTCATTCTCTCCTCATTTGGGATATTATATGGCCCAGAGGAGTATGTGTTCTCGCAGGTTTAATCACATTCGTGATGCAGTTTTTAGGACTCTTAAATTCACTGTACCAGGGGTGTAGATGCTGCTATACAGTTCGTATTTACACAATCAATCATTCAATCAATCAATCACTCAATCAAAACAAACAGCCACCCATCACCTCGCTCACTGACCTACTTAAATCCCAACCACAAACTCACTCACCAACGCACTCACTCGCTAACCCACCCACCCACTAAACTCTTTGCTGCGTATATGCCCGCCTTCGTTTAATAATTTGTGACTTAATGTGAGGGGCGGTTGGGTATAGCCTAGAGGTTAAAGCGTTCGCTCGTCACTCCGAAGACTCGGGTTCGATTCCCGACATGGGTACAATATGTGAAGCCGTGATATTGCTGGAATATTGCTAAAATCGGCGTAAAACCATACTCACTCACTCACTCACTTAATGTGAATGAACATATTTCCTGCTACCAGCCTTTGCCCTTCACATATCCCCGTTTTTCTATTATTTTCTTGACACCGGCCTTACCCTTCCCATGTCCCCGTTTTTCTATATTTTCCTGCTACCGACCTTGCCCTTCACATATCCCCGTGTATCAATATTTTTGGCATTTTAGACACTTCCTCTGAAACTTATGGGGTTTGGGAGCGGAAATTATACATCGCTGATCCTGGCCATGTCTCTAAATCCCATCTTAAACATGGCAAGCCATATTGGAATTGCCATTTGTGCTAATTATTTTAAGTCATGTCTGCATGCATGCATCATTATGAAATTCAAAAGAGAATTTGTGGTTTGCGGTTAAACAAATATTACATTTTTGTCATATATTATTTATCCTAATTTGGCCATGACGTATGTCGGAACGTGCTGTAGTTCAGTTATCTAGTTGTACTTTCATTTAAAAAACAACTTGAAGTAACATTTTTTCACGATCCCAGGCTCCTATGCTTTTCCCCCAGTGTTATTCTTTTCGGGTTTAATTTAGAAATAAACAGAAGCTCGTATTCGTTTCAACGGGGAGTCTGTTCAAAAGTCAGAATCCTTGGTTTCGACAACGGTACCAGTTATCCAGAAAAACAGATCGTTGTTGATATTATTTACTTCTCGGCTAGTCGTATCAGAGCAAGTCGTCTAGTCTAATACATGAGATCTTATTGGTCTATCTATTAGTTAATAGTCTGTGGGGACAAGGGTTTTTAAGAGTAATTGTATATAAAATTCATGCATATATACTTTTGTCTACTCTTGTATGTTGATTGAAAGAAGCGGGCATCAGAGAGATTGGGCAAAAATGGGATATTGACTGGGAAACTGTCTACGATAAGTATGAAAATAGCCTAAAACGCATACATTGTTTCGTGGAACCAGTTTTACAATGACGATAAATGGGATTTGATATTTTGTACGTTTATGTTCTCGTCATTGTTAATATTGTACACTCGGGCGTGCAAAGAAAAAAGTTCCATTGCACAGTGATCAATTTGGTACAAAAAGAAACGACAATGTATCGCAATCTCGCTGCGGCGAGACTTCCGATAACCGCCATATTTAGAAAGCCGGGAAGCACCTGCTGGCGACGTAAACAAAACACGTGCAAAATCTCGTAACACTTCTGACCTTTCTGACCCGAATGTGATTAATCTACATTGTTTATCCCTAATTGTTTCTTCTGTAATCACCATTAAGGGTGATGGATACCCAAGACAGCGCCCAGTCGTCTCTGAACAGTACAGATACAAGTCAGCTCTTGAGAGAATTACAAGCTCTGAACTTAGACAGATCTCCCGGTGTGTTGTTTTGAGATCGACTTGACATATTTTAGACTTTTTAGTTACGTTACGTACTTATGTTATTAAAAGATAATTCTGTGCATGTATCCTATGTATGTTGACAAGTTATCAGCGCTGTAGTAATTTGAAACTCAGTTCGGAACTGGGAATTTACCTGTTTACATTTCAGTCTATTTTACTTGTCACTGTCAGTCACATGATATGAGCAGAATGAAAACCCTGAAACAGGTGGATATGCTAGCTCTCAGTTAGAACACATCATGATTGAACTTACAAGCATTAAACACCGGCTTGTGCCAGGGTTCGCAAAAATATCAGCCTTCTACCTAATGGTAAATAGTTGCAATCCACAAGGAAAAGTCATTACTGAATTTTACCAGACAATGGCTAGCAGACATGTACATTTCAAATCATGATGCTTCTAATGCATTTGTTTGATTTGTGGTATGGGATTTGTCAATCACTACAGTATCTCTGCATATTTTGACATGAGCAAGAATGTCTGTGTTTGTCAGATTAACTAATGATGGTTGACCCAGTCCAGTAATTATTCTAACATCAGGAACATTTGAATGAATCAAAAGGTGGTACAGTGGTCTTGTGTTATATTGGGGCGTGATTATATCTCAGTTGGAAAAAGAGATATGATGGACACTTGACCAGAGCTCCAGATAAGCTGCGTATCTGCGTGAAATACGCATCAGAAATGCAGAAATACGCAGTAAAATATAATCCAAGCGTATCAAATACGCAACGAACATTACAGATACGCTACAAAAATAGAATTTGTCCGTATCATCAAAATATTGTGAAGTAACCCTGCGTATTCGATTAGCAAATCAGCAACTTATTTTGAAAATATAAACGGGCATTCTGTCAACCTTGCCAAACTCCACGATGACAGTTACATCATGATCATTTGCCATCACACTTTCTTGTGGAAGTATCGTGGTATTTTTGAGTCCTATAAAGCTCTCGATGAATAGTGTTTTTAAATATTTAACTTAAATACCCACATGTGTAAAAACTTCTGGTTAACAGAAATTTGAATACCCAGATAGAATTACTGATACCCAATGATTTTAAAATGCATGGATAAAATACCCATAACACCAAAAGCTTATCTGGAGCTCTGCTTGACTTTAAGCCTATTAAACCATCAGTACCGCCTTTTGTGGTATATTGTTTTCAGTCTGTTAAATAACAAGATAACACCCTAGATCAGCACAATTGATTCTTATTGCTGACAAATTCTGGTCAGCGTCATCCACTGACAATCTTGAACAAAGTCAACTGTAGCCCATTTTGAGTAGTAATGTACCACTCACATGATAACACTCAGTATATGCCTGAAGACAGTCATCTGAATGTAGGCCCTGCATGGATTTGGCAAGAGAAAAATTGGCCTCATTACATTTCAATTATAATTTCTTTATATTCAATTTGAAATTCTTCAGAATATTAAGAATTCTGTCATTCATTGAAGTGTTGTTTGAAAACTGTTGCATAGTTGTGGAACTTTTTACCTATTTTGTAATATTCAAGCCCATTTTGGGCCTTTCACAGAAGATTTAACAGGAAATTCAAGTGATGTGTATTCATTAATATGCAATATTGTTCAATAATCAATATGTTGATGATTATTTCTGGAACTTGTCATGATGATGAAACAAGAATGTTTGCAATGTGTGATATTTAACCAGGCTCTTCACATGGAAGTTTCGGAACAGGAAGAAATATCCCAGGAACAGGGGATAGGTATGTACAGAATGTATATCTTAATGTGGTCGAAGTTCTCGTGTGTGCTAATCATGTTGATAATCACCTTGTTTGTTTACTGTTTACTTGTCCAGGGATAGAAATGCATATTTCTTCAAGTGTGCCACAGGGCACTAAGATGTTTTGTTTGTGTGCCCTTTGTAAGCTAAGTGTGCCAACTAGAATACTTTTGATCCCTCTGCTAGCTACATGAATGCACTGGTATATCTAACACCAAATTTGTATAAAGCCAACTGGGCTTGTGCCATTCAAAAGTTGCTGGGTCTTTTCCAAACTAACTGACCTCCAACTAAATGATGGAGGGTGCAAAGCGGCCGAACCCAAGGTTAACGTAGCGTCTTAGTTACCAAGAAGGACTCCGAAAATGTTAGAACTCCTTTCATCCCTGAAACGTCTTTTCCTGTGCTCTGAGATTTAATCTTGGCTTCCATTTGCCTCATTTCATGGCGATTTATGAGCAAATGAAAATGTTGTTTTATACAACATTACAGAATCGCTGCCGCTTGTGTCATTCTAACAAGATGATCAGGATAGATCTTTCTTTGAGTTAGCCATTCACCCGACTTCATTCTCCCATAATATTTTCTCATCGAAATTACATGATTCAAAAGCAGTGTCCAATTGAAAAAATTAACATACACAGAGAAGGGTGAAATTTTCTTTATGTGTAAAAAACTGTTGTTCTCATGATGCATTGTACAAGTTATATGTTTCTTTTCAATGTGTAAAACTAATTTGAATTTTGTCTGTTGTTTTGAAAATATTGATGATGGTTTGATATATATTAGTTTTAACATTGTTTCATGTTTTCTGCATTAGTTGATATTGGGAAATGCCAACTAGAGGCATGGCTATGAAAATATTCAGTGCCTTTTTGCTATGCCTGTTGTGCCTGGTTTGATAACACGTTGTAAGATACAAGGGATGGAACATTTGCTTGAAATGCTATGAAGGAAATTAATATAGAATTTAACCATGTATTTTGTAGGGACATGCCAGCATCAGGGGAGGCAACTCTGACCCAGCTGATGATGACAATGTACAGTTCTGCACCAAAACAACAGATGTAAGTGCACCATTTATGCTTGTGGTGGTACACAAATTCAGGGTTTTATCCTGATCCGTGCTGACAGACATTGTTAATATGATACTTTTATTCACTAGGAATTGACCATTGCTGATGTGTTTACACTGTTTACCTTGTTTACTCTTTATCATGTCTACGATCTCATTAAAATCAAATCTTAGTTCTCGCTACCACTAAACAATGATCTAAGGTTATCCATTTACTGGTCATGTCAGACCGACCTTTCATCCGACCAATCAGAACGTTGCTTACCAGATCATGAAAGTGACAGCCGGAATGTGTTTTCTAATCATGCAACCTCGAAAAACACAGGTTGTTCTGGACGACAGTTACAGGCTTTATGACTGAATCCATACCATCTAGGGAATCTATTAGCCATTCCAGAAGGTTCTTTTGTTGATTTGTTAAATTTTTAATCGAGAATTTGTCAAAATATGTTTTGATGTGTAAAGCACGAGAAAGCTACCTTCTGATTGGCTTATATTGACTTCTTCAGTCATTCCATTGGTCGATCAAGGCCGTTCTGACATGATCAGTAAAGGGGTGTCCTCAGATCTTTGTTTAGCGGAAGCGAGAACTAAGATCTGATTTTAATGAGATTGTCATGTCTACAACCCTAGTTATAACCAATTTAGGTCCCAAGCAACATATGCCTGTCGTATTGTATGTCACTGTGTGAATCGATGCTCACAATGTCAATCACTGGTCTGACCATGTTTACACTATTTACTAAATTTATCACGTCTATCACTTGGGGGATTCCTGATAAGTATGTAGGTCCCCAGTAACCTATGCTTGTTGTGGGGGGGCGGTTGGGTAGCCTGGTGGTTAAAGCGTTCGCTCGTCATGCCGAAGACCCGGGTTCGATTCCTGACATGGGTACAATGTGTAAAGCCCATTTCTGGTGACCCCCGCCGTGATATTGCTGAAATATTGCTAAAAGCGGCGTAAAACCATACTCACTCACTCACTATGCTTGTTGTGAAAGGCAACTTATTGGATCAGGTGGTTGATCGCAGGCCAGTGTATCACACAATTGTTAACCCTTTCACAGACAATGTATCATGAGGAACCGGAGGACATAATCATGATGTTGACTAGAACAGTACAAGTGGACAAAGGTTTAAGGGCCCATTGTTACACATAGGTGTCCATTATTACACACTGGTTTCGACTCATGAAGATCAGGGTTAGAATAAGTCTTCAGCAACCCATGCTTGTCATAAGAGGCGACTATACTGGTGGTAAGAAGGTACTCACAGGATCAGGTGGTCAGGCTCGCTGACTTGGTTGATACATGTCATCTTATCCCAATTGCGTGGATCGATACTCATGATATCAATCACTGGATTGTCTGGTCCAGATTCGATTATTTACAGAAAGCCGTGATGTAGCTGGAATATTGCTGAGTGCGGCGTGAAACAACAAACAAACATTTACAGGAAATGTTACGCAACATTCACTCACTCCAAATTCTCAGAAGTTTTTGGGGAAGTGAAATGAATTATATATTTCCTACTGATTGACTTAAGATTAAAGGTAGTTATTTTGGTGTCCACAGAGTGCTGCAAGGCAATGACAACCAGAACAGCTTCAGCGTGTATGGACGGGATGTGGATGTGTACCTCGGCGAGGCTCGGGCAGGAGACTCACTTGCCACCACTGCTGGGAGTAATAAGGTGAACTGCCTTCATATCATGTTATGTTATTGTCTGTGCTTCTGGATTTAATCAACAGCCTCCGTGGTCTAGTGGTAGAGCGTCCGCCCGGAGAGTGGAAGGTCTGGGGTTCGATCCCCGGCCACCTCATACCAAAAGATGTTAAAAGATTGTACTTGTTGCTACCCTGTCTGGCGCTCGGCATTAAGGCCTGATAGAAGGACTGGTTGGCTCGGAGTCAGTATCCTGTGTCTGAGTGGGGTATTCATGTTAAACTGCGGCATGGTATCTCAGTGAGTTAGGACTATAAATAAGCAAAAGTCCGGACTAGTACAAGCACTCAAACACACACACGTACATGCACGTCACTGTATAAGTGCAATAAACTTGGACATGACGTTAAACCCCATTTCACCTCACCTCACCTCACCTCACCTCACCTCACCTCTGAATTGAATCCTGAAGGAAGATCGGTCTTTCAGCATTAGAGTGTGTGTGACCTGGCTGATAGTCAATACCCACACCCTGTTGGCCATGTGTTGGCCATGTGTTGGCCATGTGTTGGCAGTGTTCATTTTCACAGTTAGAAATACATTTTCATTTTTACTATTCTGCAAAACTGATCTACTACGGAATTGCCATCTTCCTTATGGTGAAAGAGGAAATGTCCCTACAGGTTCCTGAATGTTGGAGACTAGAGGACTTATGTATAAGTTGCATCATGATTTAAATAGGGTTGACAATACCGCGATGGACTGGTGCAATTCTTTCTTTTTAGTATTTTCTGGTTTATGTGAGCAATAAAATATCCTCATCATTAGCAAGATACAAATTTAAATGGACAAGTGAAGTTATATATTGTGCATGTGAAAGTTTTTTTCAAGTAAATAATTGCAAAATGTTAAGTCCATCCTTTGGCTATTAACATAATGACGGGCACATTCATACTTCGTTCACAGGGACTTGTTAATCTGACCGTGAATTATTGATTCGAATCTTTTTAACTGTCGTTTGTACATTTGCTATGTTTCCTGAATCTGTTGGTTATCATGGTTATGAACCATAATTATTTCACTGTTCTATTATCCTATAGTCCAATCATATTGTATTTAGTAAACCAGTCCAGAGCTCCAGATAAGCTTTTGGTGTTGTGGGTATTTTACCCATGCATTTTAAAATCATTGGGTATCAGTAATTCTACCTGCGTATTCAAATTTCTGTTACCCACTAGTTTTTACACATGTGGGTATTTAAGTTAAATATTTAAAAACACTCTTCATCTAGTCCCTGCAAACTGGTGTCGTGTGGGTTCGAGAGCTTTATAGGACTCAAAAATACCACGATACTTCCACAAGAAAGTGTGATGGCAAATGATCACGATGTAACTGTAATCGTGGAGTTTGGCAAGGTTGACGGAATGCCCGTTTATGATTTCAAAATAAGTTGCTGATTTGCTAATCGAATACGCAGGGTTACTTCACAATATTTTGATGATACGTACAAGTTTTATTTTTGTAGCGTATCTGTAATGTTCGTTGCGTATTTGATATGCTTGGATTATATTTTACTGTTTATTTCTGCATTTCTGATGCATATTTTACGCAGATACGCAGCTTATCTGAAACTCTGCAGTCTTAGCCAATATTCCTTGTTGGTTTTCAGGTAAAGATTACCCCAGTGGTGAACTACGACTGGGAACCGAAGTATTATATCGGCAACTTGGTGGCTGTACACAGAGACAATGACTTTGTGGCGTATGTGCTTAAAGGTAACGACCAGGATGTCTTGGACATTACAGCTGAATCTGTTTATGAAAACAATCAGATCAATATCTGAATTGGAATAGTCAACTTGATCTTCAAGTTTTCTGTTGATCAATTAGATGTTTATGAGATTGAAAATATACTTATTGTCATAAACTGTCATTTGCACCATACCTGCCATACATAATCATAGTAATTAATGTTGTTCCAAACATTCAACAGATGAATCATTTTACAACGGGACCCATGAAGATCCGGGGTAGAATAGGTCTTCAGCAACCCATGCTTGTCACAGGAGGCGACTAACAGGATCGTGTGGTCAGGCTCACTGACTTGGTTGATGCATATCCTCGTATCCCAATTGCGTGGATTGATGCTCATGATGTCAATCACTGGATTCAGACTCTATTATTTACTAACTGTCATCATATAGCTTGTATATTGCTGAGTGGGGCGTTAAACAACAAACAAACATTTTACAATGGTTATAATGGTTTCAGGAAAATCAAATGGAGTTGTTCGAGTCATCACTAGAAAAACAGCAGAGCGGGTGCTATTGAAGGATTTTGACGGACGGGTTATTGACGTCGCCTTTGCCCATACTGATGAAATTCTCCTGGCTGCTGTGGATGAAATAGGGAACTTGTTTGTGCATGAAATTAGAGAAGAAGATGGAAAAGTGGTGTATCCTTGATTCTTGAACTCTTCACATGCTACCTAGATGGGCTTTGATCTTTGTTTATGTGTAATACCGTTATTATAAGATTATTAGTTTAATTGTCTTCAAATTGTTGGGATTTGGGGGTAGAAAAGGTCATGGGCTTAAAAGCGTTTTAATTTTCTGTCTTTAAGCCCATGGGCTAAATAACAAGGGGGCTTAAAAACGTGCAGCCCCGTATGCCGTTTAAAGTTAAGTGCTGCAGGTGGTCAGACTCGGGTATCTGTATGTATCTACTGACTGTGTCAAAGGATGCTGTTTATTGATACATGTAGTGTTTTATCAGTCATTGACACTGTTGATATTGAAAAGGTTGATGCATGTCATCGATCCCAATTGCGTGGATCGATGCTCATGATATTAATCACTGGATTGTCTGGTCCAGACTCAATTATTTACAGACCGCCGTCATATAGCTGGAATATTGCTGAGTGCGACGTTAAACAACAAACCAACAAACCAACCAACCAACCAATGATATTGAGAAGGGATCCTACAGAGACTGACATTCCTTAACCTGTCAAGTTCCCACCTGCTGCTGCATATCAAGCACCCCCAGGCCACGCCGTCCTCGGAGTTCCATCGCGTCATCTGGTGCCCGTACATCCCCGAGGACTGCGAGGAGGCCATGACGGATGCTTCATCACAGGACGCCTCGCGGGTGCTGGTGCTCACGCACGATGCAGTGGTGTGTAGCTGATTCTGTGCTACTGTCAGGCCTTCGAAACTCATGCTAGTCAGATAGTTAGAGACTCCTAAATTGTAGAGGATAAGTGAAAATCAAATGATAGTCCACTTTGATTGGTAGCATATGAGGGCTATAATTCTCAATGCATCTCCTTTGCTGCAAATTAAAATATATTAAAACTGGCAGAAAATGTAAACCAAAAATATTTTTGTCAATTTGAAGCTGGATAAGCTACAAAATCTGAGGACCAGTGTACAGACTTTTAAGCCTGCTATTAACTTCCATAGTGTTGTACAAAAATGCTTGCCGTGAAAGGCGACTATGCTTGTCGAAAGAGGCGACTAACGGGATCGGGTGGTCAGACTCGCTGACTTGGTTGATGCATGTCATGGTATCCCTATTGGGTGAATTGATGCTTATGATGTCAATTATTGGATTGTCAGGTACAGACTTGATTATTTATACAGACCGCCGTCATATAGCTGGAATATTGTTGAGTGCGGCGTTAAACAACAAACAAACCAACCAACCATAGTGTTGTAAGTCCTTGGTTGTACCAGGATCTGATGATCATAGGTTCAAATCCAAATTTCACCCTGATTATGATCCTTGGTTTGTTAGCTCCATGTCTGCTTGAGTTTCACCAAAGATGTAAATTTCTATGATGTGTTCCTAAATTATTCTGAAGTTACACTGTTTACTCAATTTCCTCATCATTGAACGTAGCTAGTTTTATATGCCAATAATAGAATTTGTGATAATTGCCATGATAATGTTGTTTTTAAAGGCGGAGATTTGGAGCGTTGACATGGTAACCAAGGAACATGGATGTGGCCCTCACTATCCAAATACAATAGCGAGCGGTCTCATTACAATCAACAGTCACAGCAAGGTAGGACATGACACTAGATCGTCACTATATGGCTGAGATACTGCCGATGTGACGTAAAACTTTAACTCTCTCTCTCACGTGACACTAGATCAACCCTTTGTCAGCTGAAGTAACTATCAGTCATCTGTAGAGATGGACTTGACAGGACAGTGATGAATTTAATGTCAAGATATCGTATTCAATGTAATAAGCGCCCCGCTCTAATAAGCGCCCATGGCCAATTTGCTAATATCTTATCTTGTGAACAATCCATATTTTTAGCACCCCTTCCGATTGATCAATGTACACAAGACTTCTTTATTTGTGTATATTTTTTACTTATCCTGCATTACTCCTTAATGCATTCACTGCTTACTTACGACAACTAGAAGGACAGCGCTGCGAAGGTCCTGGGTGAAGAAATAAAGTTGTTGTTCTCAAGTCCCAATCAGTGGCCTTCCGTCGCTGTCCTGTGACCTTGATGACACCTAAGGTCATCTTCACATCACTGCTTGTCGCAGCACAGCTAGGACGTGTCCAAGCGGAGCTCTCCTTTTGGATTAATTTTAGACCTTCAGTTTGTCTACAATCTTAAAAATTGATCTGCGATGGGTGATGTATTCTTTTCATATTACTTTCACCATGTTGTGTAGTTTTATGTGAATTAATTAGGCGTGAAAAGACGCTTGTCTTTTTTCCCGCCAAAATATTGTTGTTCGCCGCCATTTTGAATTGTGTTACAATCGTTTGCCTGCCAAGGTAGTCATATTGTTTACAATTCTCAGCTACGTATGTATAACATATTCTTATGTTCTTAAATATTACTAGCTTTGGCGTAACAGTGAGTTGCGTATACTAAAATTATTGTATACTTTTTCAACTCGTTAAAAATATGGTTGCCGATAGATTAATATCAAATCTACGGCTTTCTTCCAGTCCCGCTTCATCAACAATTCTTTTATTGCGTACCTATGTTTATGCGATTAAATAGTTTTTTGTTGGTATTTTTGGTTTTACATTGAGTTGCGTATATGAACTATTGTATACTCTTGCAACTCGTAGTTTTTGCCGATAGATTATTGTTCAATTCTATGGCATTCTTCCAGTACCGCCTCATCAACAATGGCGTAATTGTGTTTAATTTAAACATATTTTATTGACATATATGGTCAACGGGATTGGGCAAAAGTTATCCAACTTAGGTGGCCCTTTCCCTACTCTATATGTACAGACATTGAATATACATATATATATGTAATTGTGTAACTTATGATTGAGCGTGGTATTAATTGTCGTGGGAAAAATCTTACAAAGATTATCATCCACGTTGTTTGGTTTGCGCGCAGATGTGCTCTCCAAACCCTAAATGAAAATATAAATACCCTTGGTTTACATTGGGTTGCGCATACAAAAATATTGTATATCCTTGCAACTCATAAATTTGCCGATAGATTAGTGTTCAAATTCTTCGGCACTCTTCCAGTATTATCTCATCAACAAGGGTTTCATTGCGTAACATACCTTTGAGCATTTTACTAATTGTCGTGGAAAAAACCTTACAAGATTATCATCCACGATTGGTTGGTTTGCGCGCGGATGTGCTCTCCAATCTCTAAATGTAAATAGCCTTGGTTTACATTGAATTGCGTATATAAAAATATTGTATACCCTTGCAATTCGTATTTTTGCCGATAGATTACTGTTCAATTCTACGGCATTCTTCCAGTACCATTTCTTCAATGGTTTAATTGCGTAACATAATTATGTTTGCTCGGTGTACATATTGTCGTGGAATAATCGCCCAAAGCTCTTTATCCACGGTCATAGGCATGCACGTAGATGTGCTCGCCAAAATTCAAAATGTAATTTTTATGTAAATCTCTAATCCAACGAGTTTACTATATAAAAGCAGATTACTCACAATCATATTTTGCAGTTATTCCGTCGTGAGACGAGAGGAATGTCACTATCGCAGAATAGCGAATGACATATGGTTCTGTCATTACCACCCAACCGTTATTATCGGCAGGTATTATGACGACTGTGATTGCAGAAGTACACCATCCACCGAAATCAACAATACCGGAGGATTTTGTGAGTATCGTAACTGCTCCTATTTTTTCAGCCGCCGGACACTTCCAGATACATGTATGATAATCTGTGACGTCGGCGACAGCACCAGCGTATCGAGATGCTATGATGGGGGTAGATTAGACACAAGCCTTGATCCAGTCAATACTTTTGAGCTTTGTGTCTGATTTATCTGCGCCGAGCGCAGCACTTGACTACAACCAAAGCACTTCTATTACGCAATCGGCGCACGATCAGCTTAGCGCTGTTCCAACATATCCAGCATAGACCTGCGCCGAGCGCAGCGTCTGACTGATACCCAAGCGCTCCTATCACGCCAGTGACGCACGATCAGCTTAGCGCTGTTCCAACATTCCAGACCTGCGCTGAGCGCAGCGTCTGCGTATCAATCAAGGTCTCTACAATGACGTTAGCCCAAGGCTTACAGTGTACCGGTTACGTAACCGGCACATGATCAGCTTAGCACATGTACCCGATTGGGAAGCAGACCATCTCGTGTCAGTAACGCCTTCCCCTGATAACAGGGTAAATAAGAGGGACACCACGAGGTCATTGGAGGAAGCCTTCTCCAAAACTCACATTTGCTCCGTGATTTAAGCGACCAATATCGTCAATGTTTGTAGTGGATCAGAATCTATTAGAGGATAACCCTATCTGATTAGATCACTTCCAAACTATGGTGTTTTTCCTACAGCGTCAGTTTGACCACAGGAAAATTCATCTTGAGACCGTTCTGACGGTGATTACCGTTACACCCAAGACTTTATAGCGTTTCCAACTGAGATGCTGGTTTCAAGGGCAGTCTATTACGTCAACCTTGATCATCTACTCCCCTGTTCAACGAACAGATCGCAGACACGCACGTCAAGTTCCCAAAAAGCTTGGAAAGTCCAAGTCAGGGAATTATAAGCCTAGACGCGCGTTTCTCAGGGAAGACCAGCATTCCCTTACTGAGAAAGGGAGTGGCAGAGACAAGTCTCAAGGACGATTTCGTACTTATCGCACTATATCATGGTGTCCGTATAAGGGTAGAGTTAACCCCACCGTTGACCACAGTTTGATTGGGAAAATCCAACATAGACATACTGTTGGTAAGAAGAGCTGTAGAGTGGGTTCACAACCCAGTCTTTACTCCGGGGTTTTATCCTCACACCTACCTGGTACTCATGAAGGACCCAGACAAGATGAGAATGATCCACAATCTCTGTGTTCAACGAACGTTTGATTCTTCATCAGTCTCGACTATCCATCCCAACCGTAGACTTTTCAGGTCCAGTTCATTGGGGTTCACTACCAATGGTAGTATTTCCCATTTGACATGTCAGTGACACTTATGGCTATTTACAGGAGTAATGAAGCCAATAACTATCTACACGTGACGAACACTTGGTTCGAGTCGTAGATGGAGGGCGATCTACTGTATCATCAACACATGTCAATAACTGGGATAGACAATCAACGAGGCGAAGTCGGGAGTATTCTCCTTCCTATTGACTTCAGTTCATAGGAGACCTGTTTAAGACAGACCAGGATATCCTATCTGTACCGAGGGACAGATGGCACAAGTTTCTACTTCTTTTGTCATCTACTCTACACCAACCACACACACTTCGCCAGTGGCAAGTGTTGCTAGGGTTAATCACCTCGGCACAGGAGTTAACTAGCATGGGCCGCTTACAACAGCGACCAATTCAATTTTTTTCCTGAACCCTTACATCAGGAGTCAGGATCCACTCAAGGCCATCACTCTACCAACTAAGCTAGAGCCTCAATTTGTGGCGCTGAATGTCTGCGGAGTCTGTTTATTCGGATTTTCCCCGAATACACACCTGTTTGTGGACGTCCCTTTTCAGGGGTGGAGTCTTCACTTACAAGACCAGATAAGCTCAGGGCTATGGCCCGGCGCACAATGGAAGTGGCACATAAACAACTTGGAGTTGGAAGCTTTAATTCTGGCTATATCACATTGGCAGAATCAACTACAGTTAGCCCGACTCGCTATATCCACAGACAACAGCACTGCGGTGTGGTGCCTGTGCAATCGGGGAACAACACACTCCCACTCTCCACTTCTAAGGACATTCAGATTTCTTCCATCTAGTGGATCGGCTGTGACTAAGGTTCATAGTTCAGCACATCCCCGGATGTAGAAACATACTGGCCGATACTTTATCACGTCCAGACAGGGTGGCTCCCACTGAGTGGAAATTTCTCACAGAAGCATTCCAGTTACTGCTTCAGGAATTCAGGCAACCAAACATTGACTTGTTTATTACTTGCCTATGCCACCAACCCATGACGTATATCTCCCCGTTGCCGGATCCGCAGACTTGGGCGGTGGACGAGTTCAGTATCACTTGGGAAGGGCAAAGAACTAAAACTCTTCTGCCACCACTTTTACTTCCAAGGTGCTACAGGGGATCAAGGAGACAAGGTATCTCGATCTCTCCTTTGGTCGCACCATGGTAACCGGCGAGAGGGTAGTTCGTCAAGCTCGGAAAAATCTAAAACGATTCACTTCCCCTCTCACAGTGGTCCAACCTACTCATCCACCCTCAACAGAAAATTGCCTCACCCAACGTCTGCACGCATGGTTCGTCTTTAAAAGGCGTTTAAGTGCGAAGGGTTATTTCGACACGGGCAGCAAAGCTATAGCTTTAGTTCATCGTTACTCTCCCAGAGACGACGATGACAAGTGGGGATCACTTGAGACTTTTTACAGGGAAGAAAAGAATCAAGACCCTACGATTGCGTCACAATTCCTAGAGGAATACCTCCTACATTGCGTACCCAAAAACACTTGGAAGGTAGCACCATTACTACGTAATTGGCTGCAATTATCTTAGTGTTGGCCGTTTCCGGAAAATCACAGTGTGATTAAGGTCACGGAACTACAGGCCATATTATGCTCATTCAGGTTTGAGGATCAGAAGGCCAAGTTCCAGCCACCTGATTGGGACTTGAACGTGGTACTTCGAGGTTTGCGAGGGCCCCCTTCGAGACCCTCATTGCATCCTCATTTTCAAGCTCCTTCCCAGCGCGTGACACCTTCGTTACACTCTCGGTATAGTATAGAGAGCTCCGCGAACGGGCTATCGCTGTGAGGAGCTTGGACCTCACCAAGGAAACAATGGTTTTCTCTTGGCATTAGCAATGGCGGTACGGGTGAGCGAACTACATGTGGTCGACTCAACCCGGATCCGTTTTGAGCATGGGACGCACGGAACAGGACATCTAGGGTTATGCTGGGATTTTATTGCTAAAATCTACTACCAGGCCAACCCGACCGTTCTTCACCATCCCACCGATATCGACTATTGTGGGAATCGTACATGGTGAAGTTCTCCTGGGCTCGGTGCGAGCAGTTCGAGTTTTCATTCGACGCTCCAAGACAAGGCGTGGTTCGTCCACGACAGAAGTTAGTCGCATAATCGCAAACACCATATCTATATGGTTACGCGCAGTAATCCTTCAGGCCTACGAGATCATCAAACGGAACTCGCCGAGAGCGAATTACCCTCAAGATCTCAAGGTGTCAGCCTTACCAGGGCTCAACACGGCAATTGTGGTTTTGGAACAATCACGGAAGGATATTTCTGGAGATTCGACACATATTTTCGTTAGTCATAACCTTCGCGTTGTGACTCTCGAGGATGTCAAAGACGTTCGAAGTTTGGCCCTCTGGTTGTTATCCTGCAGATTGCCAACCACTGACGCAAATAATGAACTCGCCCTATACAGAGCCAGTCAACTTCCATGTGCAGTCACTCAGTCGCCACCAGTGGAAGAATATTAGACAATCTTGTTTGTCAGCGACGGCTCTATGACGCAGTAAGTAAAGAATTAGCTGAATAGCTATTATTTTCTTTATTACTAAGCGTGTATAGGGAATTTCTCTTTAATTCCTATGTTCAATGTTTTTGATTTTTGAACAACCCTACCGTAATGGCGTTTTTGTCTGAACTTTTCCGCTTCACGGTTTATCGACCAAATGGGGTCGTATTGCAGGGTGTGAATTATTGAGGTTTCTGTATTCTGAAGGTTGACCCACCTCCAAACCGTCCGATACAGATGCATTAAGGAGTAATGCAGGATAAGTAAAAAATTTAGTAAAATCTAAATATTTTTTACATTTGTATACTTATCCTGCATTACTACGCTTAAGGCCCACCCGTCGTTAGACTTGCCTCCCCACTTTGGCTTCAGAAACCTCAAAAGTATGTTTTTCTAAGAGCTTGGGCGACAGGCAGTGATGTGAAGATGACCTTAGGTGTCATCAAGGTCACAGGACAGCGACGGAAGGCCACTGATTGGGACTTGAGAACAACAACTTTATTTCTTCACCCAGGACCTTCGCAGCGCTGTCCTTCTAGTTGTCGTAAGTAAGCAGTGAATGCATTAAGGAGTAATGCAGGATAAGTATACAAATGTAAAAAATATTTAGATTTTACTAAAATTCACACTCATGTGTTATATGCACCCTTAATAATGGGCAATTAAATTCTGGAAAAATATGTCTGTCATATATAAACATTTCAGGCTGCCAGCATAAACCACGAAATTTACGATCTTTCAACTCTGTTTTTTTTTTAACCAAAATAATATTCTAATAAGAGCCCCTTATTTCTAATTTTGAGAGCGCCCTTGGCACTAATTACGTCAAATACGGTAATTGTTTTTTGTCTTTAAAAATCACCTTTGTTCCCATTACTGAATGCATTAGTGCTGAGATGATCATAAGCCCCATTCTTAATCAGCAGTCGCAGTGCAAAGATTGCATTGTTATCCATGTATCTGAAAGCACAGTTTCTGACACTTATGTTGAGTGGTTATATCATGTTATATGCAAGCATTAACATGGTTAATTTTCAAATGATTTCTCTGAGATCCAATTATCAATTGTTTGGTTTCGGCCTTTAGGAAATCAATTTAAGAAGACTACTATCCAGCATTTTGTATTTCAGTTCTATAATGATAAATATCTTAAATAAATTGTCCACTTTCGGAAGAACAGTAGTAGGATTGGATGGCTATTTTTAGGGTCCTGGGTATTTATCGTAATAGAATGTGATACACTGGATTATCTAGGATACCTATTTCACTTTTGAGAATTTTCTGCTAATCTTTCCCCAGACCTCCGGCTAACTTTCATTGTTAACCATTATCATCCTTGCTAATTGTATTGTGGTCTTTCTTCAGCCAATTGTCGATGCTGCATTTTCCCCCGATGGCACAGCGATGGCAACAGCGAGTCTTGATGGGGAGGTGAAATTCTTCCAGGTCTACATGCAGGAGGGCACGTCTCCCAGGTCAGAGGTCACAGCCGCTGGCTTACTTAGGGAATACCAGTGATAGAAGTGTAGTATTTGCCACAGGGCTCCGATAATGATGTTAAGGTGTGCCCTTTAGAATTAAAATGTGCCGACCAAATCAATACAAACAGTACAGAACAGTACAAACAATGAAGAAGTACTCTTATGCCATCCGGGGGCACGGGTGGCCCAGTCGTCTAAGGCGCCGCGATTCGCTCTGCAGAGTTGCGTCCCTTGGGCACGCCAGAAACCTATAATTGTGGGTTCGAATCCCGGTTCGCCCCAATTATGTTTCTAGGTTTGTCAGCACCATACCCGTGCTCGTGGGTTTCACCGAAGTGGTAAACGTCTGAGACCTGCATCACTTCGGGCTTTCCTCCCACATTAAGCTGACACGCCGTGATATAACTGGAATACTGTTAAAAGCGGCGTTAAACCCAACTCACTCACTCACTCTTATGCCATCCAAAGAATACATTTCAATGACAATAGAAAAAAACCAATATGAATCTGCTTATTAAAAGAATTTTGAAGCCTGATGTTCATCGGAGGCTACAGCGCAACCCACTTAGGGCAGTTCCTTGTAGTTGAGAAATTTTGCCTGTAAGAATATTATTGTTTGGAGCATCTGAGAGACATCGCTGCGTACCCATCAGGGTTCCGGAAACTGGTCTGTGCGCCAGACATCTCCGGTTGTGCCGGCAAAATGTCCTATTTGAAAAAGTGCAAACCATTCATTTTATGTTTTGCCAACCAGATATTTTCGAGACAGTACTTTCCTCCCACATTAAGCTGACACGCCGTGATATAACTGGAATACTGTTAAAAGCGGCGTTAAACCCAACTCACTCACTCATTCACTCAAGACAGTACTTGCCAGACAGCATATCAAAGGTTATGAAATGAAGAGGTGCAGCCTTTGTTGTTCATTTGTTTGTAAACGACTTGCAAGGGTGACTGAGCGCTATCAATCAACATCATATTATACGCAGTAAAAAACTGCAACCCTGGTACCCATTATTCATTAATCCAGACATTTGGTTCCAGACTGTATAGATAAACAGGTTTCATTGTGTTTACATATGTGACGTGGCTGTTATCATGCCGGGTAGCGGCATATCCAACTGTAGCCAAGATGGCTGTTTATTTGGTATACTAATCATATGAGACTGCACAGTGCTAGAGTGAGTGAGTTGGGTTTTAATGTTGCTTTTAACAGTATTCCAGTCATATTGCGGCGTGTCAGCTTAATGTAGGAGGAAAGCCCAAAGTGATGCAGGTCTCAGATGTTTTGCCACGAGCACGGTAATGGTGCTGACAAACCTAGAAACATAATCAGGGCGAACCGGGATTCAAAAACAACAATCATAGGTTTCTGGCGTGCCCAAGGGACGCAACTCTGCCTTATACGACTGGGCCACCCATGCCCCCCGCAGTGCTAGAACTAAGCACGAATTCATATGGTCTAGTGGATGGAGAATCCACCTTGAGAGCAGAAGGTTATGGCTGCGTCATACCCAAGATGTTGATAGCTAGTACTTGTTGTTACCCTGCATTGCCCTGTGGGGATTCTGGGTAAGAATAGGTACTCAAGCAACCTGTGCTGGTCGTAAGATGCCTCAATGGATTGGGTGGTTAGGTTCGGCAATACTGTGTTATCATCCCCGCGAAGGCGAGAATCGTTTCTCACAATATGGATAATTGGATTATCTGGTCCAGACTTGATTATTTACAGGCAGCTGTGATATTGTAAAATTATCTAGAAAGTCTACTAGCTCGAACTGTCAGGGCACATAGGAACAACCCCCAAATGCATGTTTGTGTGGGGGGCACGGGTGGTCCAGTCGTCTAAGGCACCGCGATTCCCTGTGCAGAGTTGCGTCCCTTTGGCACGCCAGAAACCTATGATTGTGGGTTCGAATCCCGATTCGACCCGATTATGTTTCTAGGTTTGTCAGCACCATACCCGTGCTCGTGGGTTTCACCAAAGTGGTAAATGTCTGAGACCTGCATCACTTCGGGCCTTCCTCCCACATTAAGCTGTCACGCCGTGATATAACTGGAATACTGTTAAAAGCGGCGTTAAACACAACTCACTCACTCACTCATGTTTGTGTGTTGTTGCTAGTCCAGACTTTACTTGGTTTAATAGTGCAACCCTACTAAGATACCATAAACATCTCAGTCAGATTCAGTACACCGACCAGTCTTTGTTTTATCCCCTCAATGCCAGATGCCATACAGCTTGTTTTTTGTCTTTTTGAGTTTAACACCGCACACATCAATATTCTAATATCCCGGAATATTAATAACTGGTTTGTCTTTTACAAACTTGATTATCAACAGGCTGTGTGTTATAGTTTGATTGTTTGTGTGTTGCTTATCACCGCACTCAGCAATATTCCAGCTATATGACAACGGTCCCTAAATAATCGAGTCTTGACCAGACAATCCAGTGATACAATGACATGCATCAACCAAGTCAGCGAGCCTGACCACCCGATCCCATTAGTCCCCTTTTACCACAAGCATGGGTTACTGAAGACCTATTCTAACCCGGGTCTCCGCGGGTCGTTATAGTTTGAATATTGCTAACTAAGAACAAAGTTGACATTTGCCTGGGTGTTGTACGTCGCTGAATGTAACCAGGCCGCTGCTCTATGACAGGTGTCTGCACCAGTGGAAGCCCCATGAAGGCAAGCCCATGTCCTGTCTCTTCTTCCTGGACGATCACAAAAACCTCAGTGCTGAGTGAGTTGCAAATACTGTGTTACAATTGGTTTAAAAGTGTTAATGTCATGTAGAATGTCTTGTTGGACGTAGTAACTTTCATTGATCCTATTCCAAACGTCACTGGAACGTTTACTGAGATAAGGTAAAAGTTTCCTTGCTTCTTTTACAAATGTGATTAGAGAATGTTGGATTTGGAATGTTTAGATATTTTCAAATTTGACACCTGCATGTTTGATGTTTGCAGTGCCCAGTTTTGGAAGTATGCAGTGACTGGCGCCAATCAGAACCAGGAGCTGAAGATCTGGAGCTGCGAGTCCTGGAACTGTCTACAGACAATCAGGTTGGTAACCATGGTAACATCATTACTTCATCAATAGGACTTGTTACAAGAATTTGCTGCATCATAGGAGACAAGCATGTATTCATTAAGTTTTGGGGAGGATGTGGACATTTGGTTATTGCAACATATGGACGTTAGTGCTGTTCTGATTAAGCTGTTAAATTGATTACTACATTTCATCAGTATTTCTTAAAATCGGTCTTGTTTCATCATATGATGAAGTTTCTTTACATTGAAGTTTGTCACAGTTTTTGTCTTTCTAGATGAGTGAAAAGTGAGGACAACTAAGAACATGTTTGGTTCATAATTGTTTTATATGATTCCCAATGGACACAATTTGACTGATATATGTGCTTCATGTTGATTTTATCACAATATTTTATATATTTGGAGACGAGTAAGTTGGAAGAAAGCTATACATGTTACTAGTTTAGATATCGGGATTTAAGTTGATTCCCAATGCCAAAGGAGATAATAAAATTTATTTTTTATTTTGTGCATAAACTGAAAGTGATTCTGAAGTCTTAATTGTTTGCAACACCCGTTAACTGATACAGTCACCCTAACACTGGACATTGTTCACGGACAGATTTGTGAACCCACCTAACATGGATGGTGGTCCACTGGCAGAGGTGTCCTTGAAAGCAGGCCTCGATCTTGGTGCTAAATACCTGGTGCTGTCAGACAGGATGCGGAAGGTGAGAGTTCTTACACTGTGAAATATGAACTTACCTGGTTAACTACTACCTCTTGACAACATTAGAGCTTTGTCCAGGACAAGTCTGACCCCGTGGGTGTTCCTGGTTATTGAGGGGCGGTCGGGTAGCCTAGTGGTTAAAGCGTTCACTTGTCACGCCAAAGACCCGGGTTCAATTCCCAACATGGGTACAATGTGTGAAGCCCATTTCTGGTGTCCCCCGCCATGATATTGCTGGAATATTGCTAAAACCGGCGTAAAACCGTACTCACTCACTCACTCACTCCTGGTTAGAGAACAAGTAGACGTTTGTAAGAGGTGACTAAATGGATTGTGAGATCAGATTTAGTGGCCTTGTTAATTGCATGTCATTTTACCCTGATGGCGTGGATTGTTGCTCATAATATGAATCACTGGATTATCTGGTCCAGACTTGATTATTTTAAGGCCGCTGTCATGGCTTGAATATTGCTGAGTGCAGAGTTAAGCAACAAACAAAAGCATAAGGGTCATACGTTACAGATGCTAAAAGTGTATTGATAAGGCAGGGTTTTACGTGACACACAAATATGCGTCCTTTAGGCACAAATGTAGAGAATAGACACAGACAAAAGATATACTGTGTCCCGAAGGATGCACAATAATATACATTGTACCTACAGCGCATCAAGAGCAGTGATGAGTGTTATTTCATAATCAATAATGACCACTGTCCACATGATCATTGATTCATTCCAGTAATAATCAAGATGTACAGTACACTACACCATATCATTACTTTACAGGACCCTCATATAGCCTGCAAGGACCCTTAAAAGTAATTATTGGGGGTCCCCCAGACCCCCAGTTTTTAAAACCAAGGTAAAACGCTGATAAGGTGTAGACATTCACCGGTCAGCTGTATTTAGACATGGGTTGTACGTTACAGATGTTGAATGTGTATAGATGAGGTGTAGACATTCACCGGTCAGCTGTATTTAGACATGGGTTGTATGTTGCAGATGTTGAATGTGTATAGATGAGGTATAGACATTCACCGGTCTGCTGTATTTTGACATGGGTTGTACGTTACAGATGTTGAATGTGTATAGATGAGGTGTAGACATTCACCGGTCAGCTGTATTTAGATATGGGTTGTATGTTGCAGATGTTGTATGTGTTACAAGTCCACCAGGAGGGCACATCGACCACGGCACATGTCAGCTCCGTGTCAGAGTTCCTGCTTGCCCAGCCCTGCCTCAGTTACGCCATCCTGGACGCCAGCACCAAGAAGCTGAAGAAGTCCCCCAATGACTCCCATCTGGATGAAATAACCACAGGTAAGTCTACATGGCTAGCCCACCTGTTATTCGTGCCCTCAATTATCACGCTAAGTTGGGCTGACTGCCTCCAGGGTCTAGTGGTAGAGTGTCAGCCCGGAGAGCGGAATGTTCAGGGTTTAATCCCCGGCTGCGTCATACCAAAAAAGGAAAAAAGATCGAACTTGGTGTTTCCCTGCCTTATGCTCGACGTTATGTGGCTCTAACAAGGACTGATCAGCTCGGAGTCAGTATACTGTGTCTGAGTGAGGTATTCATGTTAAACTGCATGGAATCTCAAATGGGCTTGCACTATAAAATCGGGCATAAGTCTGGACTAGTGCAAGCAGCCACACACGCATGCATGCATGTTGCTGTTTAAGTGCAATAATCTTGTATGCAAGGTTAAATCCCTCACCCAACCTCAATTGGCTCCTAGGGGCAAAGTAGGGATAGTGTTCAGGTAACATGGGTTGATTTTCACAACAATTTCCTTGTGTTTGGGACCCATGCAGTGAGCCCCAAGTAACTCGCCTGACCTTTGTATATCGTTAGTGTTTGTTATACCTCTATTAAGAATCTTGCGGGGCAGGCCGGTAGCCTAGTGGTTAAAGTGTTCGCTCGTCACGCCAAAGACCCGACTTCGAATCCCGACGTGGGTACAATGTGTGAAGCCAATTTCTGGTGTCCCCCGCCGTGATATTGCTTGAATATTGCTAAAAGCGGTGTAAAACCAAACTCACTCACTCACTCACTATTAAAAATCTTGACACTTGACAAAACAATACATTTCAATGTAGACCCTGAAATCATGTGACTTACATTGACCTCGAATATTCACTCGTCACATGATCAGTATTGACCTGTCACGTGATGAATATTGACTCGCCTCGAAGAAAACAAGATGGCGTCTGGTACGAACATTTCGTGGTTCGCAGAGGATGGTGTAAAGACTTTATAAACTGTTAAGTGAATTTCGGTATATCAAAACAAATGATTACTCTTGAAGAGGTAAATATGCAAAAAAAGGCCCCCTGGGCCTGACCCCTTTGGTAGTCAGACCACCATCAAGTGTTGGTTCCTTGAGTCCTTGTTTTTGCATATTGACCTCATCAAGAGTAATTATTGTATAGTGTGTGGTCAGCTGTCCTTTTGATTGGTTGTTAAGCTGATCGAGTTGATTGTTAATTGTGTAACCAGGGGACCTAGACGGCGACGCCACAGATGACATCAACCGCCTACACAGGCCAGAGGAGACCACCACGGGCGTTCAGCTGAGACTGTTTGCAGTTCATTCAAAGTGAGTTGGATATACTCATAGGGTCCTTTCCTTTTTTTTTTCCAATGCAAATTTTGGGTTTGAATTGATCGTCAGCAATTTGTGTTGATCGTAAGAGGTGACTTAATGGATCGTGTTGTCAGGGTCAGTGACTTGGAAATTTGCATGTCATTGTACTCTGACTCCGTGGATTGATGCTCTCAATATCAGTTGATTATCTGGTCCAGACTTGATTATTTACAGGCCACCATCTCATAGCTAGAATATTGCAGACTGTGGCCTAAACAAACAAAACTTTATTCTTTTACTCATTCAGGAGCTTGTTGATTTACTGACCTCGTGACATCAACTTTGTCGCCTAGTGCAGACCCAGTCACTTCCAGGCCATTGTGATGTAGCCGTAGTATTCAGGATATTGGTGACTGGCTTAAGGCAACTTTCACTCACTGACTGATGCATCTATCTCTCACTGTAGAGCTCTGCAGGAGTTGCTGATCCGCTACAAACCGGAGTCCTCGGTGCCGCCCCCCTCCACCCCATCGGTCAGCTCCATCTCTCACGATGAGACAGGTAGGAGAGTTGTAATATATACAACATGGATATTTGGTGTTCTATACGTGTGAAAGTCAAGAGGCCCTTCTATCCCGAATGTTTAAGGTGATATTTAGCAGGGCCCTGTTTTCAAATACTACAGCAGCAAACACAGGTCCAGACTTGACTTCTAACAGTCTAACGTTGTAGAGCTAGACTATTCTGTGTGTGACATTAAACAACACACATACAAACAAACAGGATATCCCTATGCTGTCCCCTTAAATATGAATGCTTGAAGTTCTCTTATTGCTGACATCTAATGCTTATTGTGTCATGCACGTTATCATCAATTAATGTTTGGGAGATAAGATCGAAAGAGACATGACAATAGATAACTGTTTCCTTTATTGTATGTTTGTAAGATGTGGTGCCTGTTGCAGGTTTGCGTGACGCCTTGTCGGACATCAGCATGAGTGTGGAGCAGAGTCTCCCCGAGAGCCACGGCAGCAACTCCTCCGCCCTCCACGACAACTCCAACCCAGTGCTGCTCACACCCGATGCGTTTACCAGTCCTAGTCCAAAGTAATCAGTAGTCTCAGTAGCATTACCCACTTCAGTTCTTCAATATAAAAACCTATTTTATTTGGGGGAAGAATTGCATCCCCCATAACCCATGCGTGTAGGAATTGTCTAATATGATCGGGGTGGTCAGTCTTGGTGACTTGGCTGATTGCTGATCATGTCCCAGTAGGGTGGATTGTTGCTCATGCTGAAGCAGTTTCAGTTGCGTGTTTTCTAGTCCAGACTGTTGGTTCGATTTGCCCAGTCATCTGAGGCGTGCAGAGTTGTGTCCCTTGGGCACGCCAGAAACTTATGACCATTGTTTCGAATCCTGGTTTGCTGCGATTATGTTTCTAGTTTGTCAGCACTATACCTGTTCTCATGTCCACCAAAGTAGTAAATGTCCGAGACTGCATCACTTCAGGCTTTCCTCCCACATGAAGCTGACACGCTGTGATATAACTGGAATACTGTCTCTTTAAACCCAACTTACTCACAGACACTCACTGGGGTGGTCGGGTAGCCAAGTGGTTAAAGCGTTCGCTCTTCATGCCGAAGACCCGGGTTCAATTCCCGACATGGGTACAATGTATGAAGCTTATTTCTGGTGTTCTCCACTGTGATATTGCTGGAATATCGCTAAAAAGCGGCGTAAAACTATACTCACTCATAGACACTCACTATTTACAGATACAGCTGGACTATAGTTGGCTGGGTGTTTTAGTATTATACAACAACAGATTTTGTAAAACACCTAGTCTGAACTATGAGTAGAGTGAAACCATTAGGTTTATGAAAGCCCTGCTTGTTGGACATGAGTTGGGGACACCTTACACAAATATCGACACGTTACTACTTACGTACAGACTATTTAACCTTCAGGATTTGTTGGTGAATGAGATGGTGTAAGAGAGTGAATATTATTACTGCTTCAACACGTTCAATTCAAGAGCCAAATTTGTTTTGTCAGTACTTCCAGGCTGAAATAGTCTGGATAATTTCAACGCAAATGATAAATGCTGTTCTTATGCAGGCACTATTTCATTTATTTCCAGCAATAAAACTGTGTCAGTGCAGAACTCTCTGGATCATGTTCGAGGCAGTGGAACGATAGATCACATGCGCGGCAGTGGATCTAGTACCAGTAGCTTCACTCACGTCACTCCCATGAACGATGAGATCTTCACCCCACGTAGCTCAGCATCCGGGGACCGGACAGTCATGTCGCCAGGCAGTTCCATCGCCCACACACCCTCGTCCAAGGGCGATGCCCAGTCCCAGGATGTGACGCCCACAAACATGCCCCTCCCCCCCATCGACTCAGTAGAAGAAGAGGAGCTTGCCACGCCAAAGGGGGGACCTGAGTCGGAAAAAGGGGATGCTCACAATCATTCTGCACAAGAAGTTCTGGATGATTTCTTCACCCAGGTAGGACAAAGACCATATTTGACAATATTATGTCTGATTTTTGTGTGAAATTGCATATTGATCATGTGACTGCATTGCGTACATTTTTGTGAGCTCATTTCATTCCTGGTGTTTATAGAAGCAGTGATAGAGAGGGGTGTTTGGTTGTGAAGAAGGTTAAAACTTCATTGTTTTATTTGAAACTTGAGATCTACAACACAGTTACTGGTATTAGCTGGTGCTCAGCTGTTACTCGTTTACACACATGTGAAACGCATACATGATACCCCCACTGTGATATTGCTAGAATATTATGGATTATGGCATAATACCACTTGAATACAGTCTGTGACTTGAGCCACTGGTCTGAAGCCTGAGTCTAGTAATATTCTGTTCCGTCTAATAATCTCAGAAATATTAGCCCCTGTAATTACACCAGCATTGATTTGAAATTACACTGAGAGATGAGTTCTGTCTAGAAGCCTCCAAATATTTTGTATGTATGTGAAGAACTGTTTAAGATGTTATAGAAAACAGAAACTTTCAGCGGTTGAAACTAACGTTTTTTGCCCACTAGTCCTTATAATGATAACACATAGCAAAACCCTTAAAATGGCAAATTTCTACTAGTCCTTATGATACCTTAACTATTGGTCAGTTTGGCAAGGACTACAGGAAACTGCTGGCAATGTTATTCAAGTTGGGCTGTGTTGTAAAGACATGTACATGATGTATGAACTGTTTCCAGGGAGGTGCCTCCATCAGGTCGGTGGATAGTGCGTCCAGCACGGGGCGGTTTGACGTCAGCGAGATAGTTCCCCCCCAGCCAGGGCAGCCCGAAGTCAGGCACCGTACTGACTACGACGAGAACGACCAGGAGGTGGCTGAAGTGCTAGGTACACCATTTGTGGATAATATTGGACCTCCTTGAGAGGATTCTGGGACAAAATAGTTCTGTTGTATTGCTGATGGGGTCTGTCTCAAACATGGTTGACATGGGTATACAGTAAACTACGTTAATAACAAACTCATTTTTCAAATTTCAATTTGTTATAACCATAGTTTGTTATAACCATAGTTTGTTATAACCATATTTAAGCATATATACAGCAAATGTCAGGGACCAAAAACTAAGTTTGATATTATATCCGTCAGTTCGTTATAATATGTTCGTTATAAATGTAGTTTACTGATATTATTTACTCTTTCAGTTTATGTGAGTTTGATGACATGGTGGATGTGTTTGTTTATGTGGGTCCATTGTGTATTGGAAAATATTTATCAGCTTCATTCGAGACAAATTATCCAAATTTGTCTTTGATATTTTAATGACCCTGTTTTTCGAACTGTATTTAGTATTTTATAAAGGTCTTTGTCTCATCATTTTAAACAAAGTCGTCCTTACCTAAAAATGCTTGAGTAGAAATTGCTTTAGGTTTTGCCCTGATGTATTGTGTATAAGTTGTTGTATTTTGTGTATCAGGTGAAAGCTATGTTGCTGTTGAGGAGGAAGGGGGTGAGGCTGAAGAGTTCCAGGAGGGGGAGACAACTGGAGAGGAGTTACATGTTCCCCGTGCCTGGCCCAAACCACCAGATGTACCTGGAGTTAACCAAAATCTGTCATCAGAGGCTGTGGTACGGGACAACAGGTAAGTTGTGACAGAGCTACCTATCTTCTGTTTGTGGAGTGTGAGTGTGAGTGTCTGTGTGTGAGTGTAAGTGTGTGTGTGGTGTGTGTGTAGGTTTGTGTGTGTGTGGTGGTGTGGGGAATGTGTGTGTGTGTGTGTGTGTGTGTGTGTGTGGGTGTGTGTGTGTGTGGGTTTGGGAATTAGAAACACCAGATTACAGAAAGCATTAAAACCATGATCATACGAAACTGTATGGTTTCTGTCTTTTAACAGATAAATAATAACTCCAGTCCTCTGTAGGGTTGTACAGGTAGTTTAGTTTAACGCTGAGCACAGTAGCATCAAGCATCAAAACCAAAATGAGGAACATTAAACATGACTGGCTGGGGCTCTGGTGAAAAATCTATACCCTTACCATTGTTGGTGGTGTCTTTCAACGAACATTGCTGCATCCATAACAGTGTATAGACTGGTTAGGTCCAAAAGTAGCATGGATGTTGCCTCCCAACACATCATGCTCTCATCTGACTGGCATATGTACGTCTCACAGTCATGTTCCTAACTTAGAACTGTTTACTCTCAGCTCAAGGGAGGAGACCCAGGATGATGACGATGACGATGATGAGGAAGAAGGTGATGATGGCGATGATGAAGCCGAGATTGAGGAGGAGATTGAAGTTGTTGAGGAGGGCAGCGAGGAAGAGCAACAGAACCAGTAAGTCCATAAGTAAAGAAACCTGGTAGCCGTTGTACCAAGCTATCTTAGCACTAAGGTGACCGTAACTCCCATACCGTAACATAGAAATACAGCCGTCGTAGCGCTTTGGTTCATAAGGAAAGAAAACTGAACCTTAGCACCAGGAAGGCTGTGGGAGGAGGGGATGGGGGAGAGGGTAGCCTGGTAGTTAAAATCTTGAGTGGGGGTGGAGGGGTGGGGATGGGGGTGGAGGGGTGAGAAGAGGGTAGCCGGGTAGTTGAAACCTTGGGTGGGGGTGGAGGGATGAGAAGAGGGTAGCCTGGTAGTTGAAACCCTGGGTGGGGGAGGGGGGGATGGGAGAGAGGGTAGCCTGGTAGTTTAAACCTTGAGTGGGGGTCGGAGGGGTGGGGATGGGGGTGGAGGGGTGAGAAGAGGGTAGCCTGGTAGTTGAAACCTTGGGTGGGGTGGAGGGGTGAGAAGAGGGTAGCCTGGTAGTTAAAACCTTGGGTGGGGGTGGAGGGGTGAGAAGAGGGTAGCCTGGTAGTTAAAACCTTGGGTGGGGGTGGAGGGGTGAGAAGAGGGTAGCCTGGTAGTTAAAACCTTGGGTGGGGGTGGAGGGGTGAGAAGAGGGTAGCCTGGTAGTTATAACCTTGGGTGGGGTGGAGGGGTGAGAAGAGGGTAGCCTTGTAGTTAAAACCTTGGGTGGGGGTGGAGGGGTGAGAAGAGGGTAGCCTGGTAGTTAAAACCTTGGGTGGGGTGGAGGGGTGAGAAGAGGGTAGCCTTGTAGTTAAAACCTTGGGTGGGGGTGGAGGGGTGAGAAGAGGGTAGCCTGGTAGTTGAAACCCTGGGTGGGGGTGGAGGGGTGGGGATAGGAGTGGAGGGATGAGAAGAGGGTTGCCTTGTAGTTAAAACCTTGGGTGGGGATGAAGGGGTGGGGATGGGGGTGGAGGGTAGCCTGGTAGTTAAAACCTTGGGTGGGGATGAAGGGGTGGGGATGGGGATGGAGGGTAGCCTGGTAGTTAAAACCTTGGGTGGGGATGGGGGTGGAGGGTAGCCTGGTAGTTAAAACCTTGGGTGGGGATGGGGGTTGAGGGTAGTCTGGTAGTTAAAACCTTGGGTGGGGACGGGGGTGGAGGGTAGTCTGGTAGTTAAAACCTTGGGTGGGGATGGGGGTGGAGGGTAGCCTGGTAGTTAAAACCTTGGGTGGGGATGGGGGTGGAGGGTAGTCTGGTAGTTAAAACCTTGGGTGGGGATGGGGATGGAGGGTAGCCTGGTAGTTAAAACCTTGGGTGGGGACGGGGGTGGAGGGTAGTCTGGTAGTTAAAACCTTGGGTGGGGATGGGGGTGGAGGGTAGCCTGGTAGTTAAAACCTTGGGTGGGGATGGGGGTGGAGGGTAGTCTGGTAGTTAAAATTTTGGGTGGGGATGAAGGGGTGGGGATGGGGATGGAGGGTAGCCTGGTAGTTAAAACCTTGGGTGGGGATGAAGGAGTGGGGATGGTGGTGGAGGGTAGCCTGGTAGTTAAAACCTTGGGTGGGGATGAAGGGGTGGGGATGGGGATGGAGGGTAGCCTGGTAGTTAAAACCTTGGGTGGGGATGAAGGAGTGGGGATGGTGGTGGAGGGTAGCCTGGTAGTTAAAACCTTGGGTGGGGATGAAGGGGTGGGGATGGGGATGGAGGGTAGCCTGGTAGTTAAAACCTTGGGTGGGGATGAAGGAGTGGGGATGGGGGTGGAGGGTAGCCTGGTAGTTAAAACCTTGGGTGGGGATGAAGGAGTGGGGATGGTGGTGGAGGGTAGCCTGGTAGTTAAAACCTTGGGTGGGGATGAAGGAGTGGGGATGGTGGTGGAGGGTAGCCTGGTAGTTAAAACCTTGGGTGGGGATGGTGGTGGAGGGTAGCCTGGTAGTTAAAACCTTGGGTGGGGATGGGGGTGGAGGGTAGCCTGGTAGTAAAAACCTTGGGTGGGGACGGAGGGGTGAGAAGAGGGTGGCCTGGTTGTTAAAACCTTGGGTGGGGATGAAGGGGTGGAGGGTAGCCTGGTAGTAAAAACCTTGGGTGGGGATGGAGGGGTGAGAAGAGGGTGGCCTGGTTGTTAAAACCTTGGGTGGGGATGAAGGGGTGGGGATGGGGGTGGAGGGTAGCTTGGTAGTAAAAACCTTGGGTGGGGACGGAGGGGTGAGAAGAGGGTGGCCTGGTAGTTAAAACGTTCATTCATCACATGGGTACAATGTGTGAAGGATGGTATATGATGCAATAATTTGTGTCCTCTCAGTTGATGTGCCTCTACTTTTGTGGGCATGAAAATTTTAAGTAGTTCTTGTTTCAGAATGTCGCCAAGGTTAGCTGAAAGGATAGGCAAAGTGAAGCAGTCCCCACGGTCTGCCTATGGATCAAGGTAATAGAAATATTGCACAGCAGCGTCCTTAGACAATATCTACATGTAACATTTCCATACTACACATCCTAGCTCAGTTCTCTTTGACGAAACAACTCCTGGTTATTCACTGACATATACAGGGTTGCTAGGCAGAAGCCCAAATAAATGATGAATAGGTGAAATCAAGTGAAGTATACATGTTGTGTTTTCAGTGAGGCTGTTACGGCGGCTGTTCGAGCGGGGGTAGATCGGGAGTCATGGAGGGAGGTGAGAGACCGGAGCACATGATCCACCATGAATGTACAGGAGAGTCTGTCAAGGCCCCTGTATGGAGCTGGGTTAGAATGAGTCACTGGCACACCATTGCTTGTTGTAAGAGACAACAGAGCTTGATCGGCTGGTCAGACTCGGTGATGTGCTTCATTGTGAGCTGATGGCGTGGGACGCTCATAATATGCTGCTCGAGCTTTTGATGGCGATAAGCATTGAAAGATAAAATATCCCTATCAAGAATTGAGTGGTATATTAATCATTGGTTTGTCTGGCCCACGTTTGATTAATTTCAGTGCCCTGTGATATAGCTGACTGCAGAAAATAACAAAACATATGAAGTTGGTGAAGGGAACCACAACATGCAGTGAATATTCATATCTGATAGATTTCCTCAATAAGGAGCGAGGCCAACTTGCACAAGGCGAATCTAGCACTATGATTAGTGTAACTCCAATACTTTTTGATTCAGTTGAAATGTTGCAAACAATTAATTGAGAATCTACGAGGAGTTAAAATAAAACTGAATATGTAAGTAGTCTTAGACAGTCTGGCAGGTGGAGGAAATTTATTTTCTGCCCAACAGGCGGGCAGGCAGTTATTTCAGACAGTGGCATAAGATAACATTCCCTTACTGACAATGCTTCTCCCCTGCTACAGATGCAGAAGAACATGCAGGACATGACGGCGGTGCTGCAGGCGCAGCAGATGCACATCACGGAGCTGCAGCAGCAGATCGCGCGGCAACACGACCAGCAGCTGGAGCTGCAGCAACAGAAGGAGGAGCAGTGGCGCCTGCAGCAGGTCGCCGCCACGCAGCCCGGCCTGCAGGAACAGATGCAGAGGATCGAGGATGTCATGACGTCACGGATAGAGCGGGTTCTCACACAGCACCTTGGCAGGCAGAATATCCTTCATATCAGTTGTCTCTGCGACCACGACCGTTTCTACACAGGGATCGGAAGGTCGGTGGTTCAATCCCAGACCCCATCATATCAAAAGACGTTAAGAGATGGTACTTTTTGTTGCCTGGCATTCAGCATTAAGGGGGAAAACATGGACTGGTCAGTTCTGAGTCAGTATATTGTGTCTGAGTCAGTGTTTAAAATAATTTAAAAACCCAACAAGTCAGTCTGGCATGTGCCCCCTAAATGTTCCCTGCCCATCTTCAAAGTTACCTGCGCGCATTCAGACATTATAAATATTGAAAATAGCGAAAAATAAGACAAATCGCGCCTTGGTTCATTTGAAATAATGTAAACAATTACTTGAGAATCTATGAGAAGTCATAATAAAACCGAAAACGTAAGTAGTCTTAAAATTATCTGCTAGACAGCCTGGCAGGTGGAGGAAAATTTCATACAGCCCGACAGAAAAGTTATAGGCGTGAGGCTGGAAGGTGGGCTGGCAGTTATTTCGGCAGTGGGCAGGCAGTTATTTCGGTCTGAGTGGGGTATTGATGTTAAACATATGCTTGCTATCTCAGTTGTGGACAGGTACAAACAGATTCCCTATTTCACCTCACCTCTGTCTGCTATGCAGGGGAGATGCACATTGAAATACAAGGAGTTGAGAATTAAGAGTTTGAGTTTAGGGTCTTGTAGAATACTGTCATGGCAGTAGCGATGCATAATGGAACACAATGACTATTCCACACGAACTTAAGGGAGCTCATACAGTCATGGCATTATGACATGAAGTTTCAAGTGGTTTGAGACAAATATTTATTTGTTGTTCTGTATTTCTTTTTATAGAAAGTAAAAAATGGTTCAAAAAGGGAGTAACTGTGTGGTTTGAGCATCTGACTTTGATTCCAGATACTAATGTGATTTTCGCAATCTTTTTATTTGTTCCCTGTGGATATTGTTAGCGAAAATGAAATCCACGGGACACAGTGTGATTGTATTCAATGCTTGAACATACCTGTCCTTAACGACTGCACCTCAGACGTTACAAGATGTAATGACCCGCACAGAGGGCCGACATCGGCAGGAACAGGAGAGGCTGCAGACCACAGTGACGCAGTCCGTCAGTCAGGCCATCACCAACAACCTGGAGAGGGCTGTCCGTGCTGAGATGAAGAACACGGTGGTCCCCAGTGAGTGGAAGGCATTATTGGTCTAGATATTGGATAATGATGTACACTTGCTCATCTTGCTGTATAATCTCTTTCTTGCCTCAGTTTCAAGCAAGCCATCTTATTGCTGTAGGAAAGCACGGGTCGCCTAGTCGTCTAAGGCGCTTCGATTCGCTGTGCAGAGATGCGTCCCTTGGGCACGCCAGAACCCTGTGATTGTGGGTTCGAACCCCGGTTCGCCCCGATTATGTTTCTAGGTTTGTCAGCACCATACCCGTGTTTGTGGGTTTCACCAAAGACCTGCATCACTTTGGGCTTTCTCCCACATTAAGCTGACACGCCGTGATAAAACTGGAATAATGTTAAAAGCAACGTTAAACCCAACTCACTCACTATTGCTATAGCAATTTAGTGTTATTAAGTTACAAAATTCAACTAGTTCTTATGGTGGGGTAGCAGTTGTAGCATTATCAGTGCCCTGTAGTACGTGTGTAGAATTATCATGAGAAGATTTTCAAGCAAATTTTACCTGATTTGTTGTAGCGGTGACGAAAATCTTAGATCCAGTGAAAGATCAGCTTCATCAAGATCTGGCACACAAGCTCACTGCCACTGATGTACTACTCAAAGACAACATCGCTAAGATGGTCAGGTCTCGGGTAAGTCATGTAGTCAACCTCGTGGAGAGTCCTGCTTAGAACTGCTCCTCAGCAAGCTATGCCCATAGTAACAGGTCACTTACAGAGATTCTCTTTTGATTTCAATTATATTTACATGAGTTGATCAGATTTAAACACAGGCTTGCCATGGGCCTGCTCAATGATGGCAGTCTGTAAAGAATCGAGGCTTCAATCCAGTGTTTAATATTGTGAGCAACATCCGCATTGAGCATGTCACACAAACATCACTAAAACCTCAGAGCTACAGATAAGCAGCATATTTGCATAAGATACCCCCCCCCCATATTCAAAACCCAATTACTTTCAATTAACTTGCGTGTGTACAAAGGAGCTAATTTCCGAAATATAATTATGAGCTAATTTACTTTCTGAGTCAAGCTTATATATTTAGAACAGTTATATACATCTGAAACATTATTTCATTTTTTTTAAATCTTAAAATGTTCACTAGTTTTGGGAAATACCCAATAAAGTGATAAATAGATAAGTGAAATAGTATTGGTTACCCAATGATAAATGTAAAAAATGCGCATTGGTAGTTCCGTGTTTGAAATGGAACTTAATGCTTTGAACTCTTATTGTATTTTTATTAGAATAGTAATACCAGCTCCATTTAATATGCAATCAAAACAGTTTTCGCCAGTCATACATTCATATTGTTTTGTGTCCAATGGGACTACCCCTAATGGGGTCCCTGGTTGATAAGTCCCCAGCAACCTATGCCGGTCACATAAGTTGACAAATGGATCGGGTGGTCAGACTCTGTGACTTGGTTGAATGGTGTCATCAAACCCAACAGCATTCATTGTTGCTCAGAATAATCAACCCTGGATAGTATGGTCCAGACTTGATTATTTGCTGGCCACTGTCATGAAGCTGGAATATTGCTGAGCAAGACATTAGACAAACAAAAGCATCTTCTTTATTTCTCAGTGTAGAATAGATTCCATGCACTTGTTGCTCACTGTAGGAAGCACTAAGCTATGTCGGCCCGTGAAGACCTGGGGTAGAATAGGTCTTCAGCAACCCATGCTTGCCGTAAAAGGCCACTATCCTTGTAATAAGAGGCGACTGACCGGATCGGGTGGTCAGCCTCTCAACTTGGTTGATGCATGTCATCGATCCAAATTGCGTGGATCGATGTTCATGACATCAATCACTGGATTGTCTGGTCCAGACTCAATTATTAACAGACCACCGTCATATAGCTGGAATATTGCTGAGTGCGGCGTTAAACAACAAACCAACAAAACTAAGCTATGTCAGGTGGCCAGACTCAGTGTTGGTGGATTGCATGTCACTGTAGGGCGACTACAGCCTGGTTGTTCAGTCTGAGACATGGATGTTCTGTTTCAGCAAACAGTGGAGGCTATAGCCAATGCAACCGGCAGTGCCATCCAGGCCCCCATACAAGCTGCCTACAGAGAGGCCTTCCAGAACATGGTCGTTCCATCGTTTGAGCGAGCCTCTCAGAGTATGTTCCTGCAGGTTAACGAGGCCTTCCAGAGGGGCACCACCGAATGTGAGTATATGTCACCTGTGAAGTTGATGGAGGATGATATTGTTACTTATGAGACCTATGAACATCCTGTGTAGAATTGGTCTTCAGCAACCCCTTGTTGTCGAAAAGGGCGACTATGCATGTAAGAGGCGTCTAAATGGATCGGGTTGTCAGACTCGGTGACTTGGTTGATGCATGTCACTGTAATTGCCCAATCGTGTAGATCGATGCTCATGATGTCTCAATCATTGGATTGTCTGGTCTAGATTATTAACAGATAATGATTCATATAGCTGGAATAGTGCTGAATATGGCGTTATACAACAAGCAAACAAACAAACAAACATACAAACTTACCATGAACTTTGCAGGAGTTTATCTTGAGGATATTCGGGCCAGTCTGCAGCAGATGTCAGTTAAAACAAACAAACATACAAACTTATCATGAACTTTGCAGGAGTTTATCTTGAGGATATTCGGCCCAGTCTGCAGCAGATGTCTGTTAAAACAAACAAACAAACATACAAACTTATCATGAACTTTGCAGGAGTTTATCTTGACGATATTTGGCCCAGTCTGCAGCAGATGTCAATTAAAACAAACAAACAAAGATACAAACTTATCATGAACTTTACAGGAGTTTATCTTGACGATATTTGGCCCAGTCTGCAGCAAATGTCAGTTAAACAAACAAATAAACAAACAAACAAACATACAAACTTATCATGAACTTTGCAGGAGTTTATCTTGACGATATTCGGCCCAGTCTGCAGCAGATGTCAATTAAAACAAACAAACAAACATACAAACTTATCATGAACTTTACAGGAGTTTATCTTGACGATATTTGGCCCAGTCTGCAGCAAATGTCAGTTAAACAAACAAACAAACAAACATACAAACTTATCATGAACTTTGCAGGAGTCTATCTTGACGATATTCGGCCCAGTCTGCAGCAGATGCCAGTTAAAACAAACAAACAAACAAACAAACATACAAACTTATCACGAACTTTGCAGGAGTTTATCTTGACGATATTCGGGCCAGTCTGCAGCAGATGTCAGTTAAAACAAACAAACAAACATACAAACTTATCATGAACTTTGCAGGAGTTTATCTTGACGATATTCGGCCCAGTCTGCAGCAGATGTCAGTTAAAAGTCCCCAAAGGGGAATATTAGTTTCCCAATGAATTTTGATACAGTTATAACTAATGTGATGGCTTGGTCAAGTTGACTTGCATTTTACTGATAACAGGAACAATAATGAGGTAGGGGCCTGAACGCTTAACTTTCAATTATTGAATCAAGTTCAGTATTAAAACACAATGTTCAAATAATTCTGATATGAAGAAGCTGTGAAATGAGGTCCTGGGGACTATTCTATTTTAGTTTCAGGACCCCTCCCTATCTTTGACTTTATCCTAAATTTTAACACTGATGAGTCTCATCTCAGCTGACATGTTATGTTTTTATGTGTTTGTCAAGTTTTTCAGACATTGCATAGAATATCCCATAATGAATTATAGGCTTGATGACAATAGTGTACTGTGCCATGCTGTGATATGAGCAAGATGGTCTCAGAGTGGCACTTAATACTACTCACCATACTCGCTTACCATCCCGCTGCTCTTGATTCTTGAGATACTGTTCAAAGCAGCATTAAGTCCACCTCTCCCACTGTGCTGGCCCCATCATTGCGCTAGGACTGCTGTCAGTCCCATTGTTTAAGAAAGTCTGACAACAGCCTTGCTCTTGCGATCCCTTTATGAAGCGTGGTCCCAGACTCCTCAAACTCGGACACCTGTCTCCTAGGTCCCTGCGAATAGCTGCAAGATTAGTAATGCAGTTTCAGCAATATTCTCACTGACTCTTGGTTTATTCCCCTCAGATGCGGGTCAGCTGGAGGGTCACCTCGAGCGTATCCGACAGCGCCACCAGGAATCCCGTGACCCCATTGTCAAGCAGCTGCAGTCTCTGGTGGACAACTTCCAGGTGACGTCCGGCGAGATGAAGACGGAGATCCTGAATACGCTACAGTCCGAACTCAACACCAGCCTGCAGAACGCACTGGCAAAGTAAACTAACTATTCAGTTTTCCATGGGGATTTGGGGGGCAGATTGGTTCTAGCATTCTGTCCTTGATGTAAGAGTTGACTAAGATGGGGATTGGTTGGTCCCAGTAACTGACCTAGCAGTGTCGTTGTTACTCACTCATGCTGTCAACCTCTAGTTTGGGGGATTACGTAGTCCCAGTAAATGACCTTACAGTGTCGTTGTTACTCACTCATGCTGTCAACCTCTAGTTTGGGGGATTGGTTGGTCCCAGTAAATGACCCGAGTGTGTTGTGTTACTCACTCATGCTGTCAACCTCTAGTTTAGGGGATTGGGTGGTCCCAGTATATGACCTGACTGTGTCGTTGTTACTTACTCATGCTGTCAACCTCTTGTTTGGGGGAATGGGGTGTTCCCAGTATGTGACCTGACTGTCGTTGCTACCCACTCATGCTGTCAACCTCTTGTTTGGGGGATTGGGTGGTCCCAGTATATGACCTGACTGTGTCGTTGTTACTCACTCATGCTGTCAACCTCTAGTTTGGGGGATTGGGTGGTTCCAGTATATGACCTGACTGTGTCGTTGCTACCCACTCATGCTGTCAAGCTCTAGTTTTGGGGATTGGGTGGTTCCAGTATATGACCTGACTGTGTCATTGTTACTCACTCATGCTGTCAACCTCTTGTTTGGGTGGTCTGTAATGTCATGGGGGGGAGCCAGTATTCACTACCCTAAACATACTGCCAGCTCTCGTGTACATGAGTGTGTTATGTTCAGCCTGCAGGAGAAGACACTCAACCATGTGCGTGAGGCGGTGAAGGAAGAGGTCAGCGTGGCAGTCAGGGAGCATGGTGCCAGTCTCTCCGACCAGCTCATGAACTACGTGCGGTCAGGCGCTGCGACGCCGGTACAGATATCCCCAGACCTCGGCCACCTACAGACTCTGCGGACATCCGTGATCAACGCTGTGAGACTCGGCAACATCAACGAAGCTTTCCAAACTGTGAGCATTTATGCGATCATTTAACATTCCTGGGACGAACATATATACAGAACACAGAAAGTTAGGGATTATGCATATTCTTGGGGATATTTTCGTGAAATTTTGTGCTCAGTCGTCACTATGAAAAATATTAGCGATCCCTGAAATCTATTTTTCAGTTTGTTTTGGTCTTATTGTTCCTGTTGTGTGCTGCTCAGGATTCCTGTTCTGACTCTGGGTTCCTTGTAGCTTGAGTCTGTTAATTTGGTTGAGGATCTTTTCTGGGAGCCATTGATGACTCTGTAATCAATAGTATTTGCAGAGCTCCAGATAAGCTTTTGGTGTTGTGGGTGTTTTACCCATGCATTTTAAAATCACTGCGTATCAGTAATTCTATCTGGGTATTCAAATTTCTGTTACCCACTAGTTTTTACACATGTGGGTATTTAAGTTAAATATTTAAAAACACTATTCATCTAGTCCCTGCAAACTGGTGTTGTGTGGGTTCGAGAGCTTTATAGGACTCAAATATACCATGATACTTCCACAAGTGTGATGGCAAATGATCATGATGTAACTGTCATCGTGGAGTTTGGCAAGGTTGACGGAATGCCCGTTTATAATTTCAAAATAAGTTGCTGATTTGCCAATCGAATACGCAGGGTTACTTCACAATATTTTGAATATACGCACAAGTTTTATTTTTGTAGCTTATCTGTAATGTTCGTTGCGTATTTGATACACTTGGATTTTATTTTACTGCATATTTCTGCATTTCTGATGCGTTTTTTACGCAGATACACAGCTTATCTGGATCTCTGTATTTGTATAATTTTTTAAATGTCTGAGAATCCCTACCCAGATTGCAAGATAGAATATGTCTTCAAAACTCCATGCTTGTCTTACATGGAAATCAGAATGGGGATTAGATGGCAACAATGGCTGCTCAGTATGGATATTAGGGATATGGATAGTAATGGATAAGAACACCAACTGTGATCTGTATGATTGTGTGTAAAATGAAACAAGTAACAAGAAGGAAACTATTAAATGCCATCAAATTTGAGGGTCATGTGCTGTCAGAGTGAGAGAACACTTAACAAGTTAAAGGGATTTAACTCTTCACATACTTTCCAGTTAGCTGATGTAAGGTTGAAGAAACATGCATTGCCATACGATGTACACAGGATTCTGAAAACTAGCACAGCAAGATAAGGGACATAATCAGGGCAAAGGGACGTAACTGTTGTTAAACTGTACAGGCATAGTATGTTTTGGTTGGGGTTGCGGCTCAAGTTGTATTGAAGGAGCTGAGCTAACAGGTTTCTTTTTTCAGTATATTTTTCGATTAACTGAAAACAAGCCATCAGCTGGTTAGTTTTTCAAAGGTTGTGTATAAGCAACAATATTTAAATCAGGCGAAAACTAGTTATTCACTGCTTTTGAGTAGTTAATATCTAACCAGCAGCTTGCTTGTTATTGATCTGGAAAAGTCTTCTGCCTTTCCTGATTTGATTTTAATGGAATCAGTAGCTTCAGTGGATGTGGCTAACTTCACCCTGTTTATGTGTGTTTGCAGGCGCTGTCAGCATCTAACCTTGAGCTTGTGATGTTCACGTGTGAGAATGTGAACCCGTCCCTGGTTTTCGGCCAGGATCCCTGCCCCCTCAAACAGCCAGTGCTTCTGTCCCTCGTCAACCAGCTCTCCGCAGACTTCACCTCACACACCGAGCTTAAGATCAAGTGAGATGTTTACCTAGAACCACAACCCATTGGGGTGAAACGATACAAAGGCCACGATACGATAAGTATCAAAATACATATATTTATGTCAAATCATGTGGAAAATTCTTGATGTTGAATATTTCAGAACAAGTATATATGGAAACACTAGCTGTAGATACATGTTTGTGGCGGCTATTTTTAGTTGTGAACTTGGAATGCTAATTACAACATATTTTGCAATATTTGATTTTGATAGGGATTTTGGTAAGGAAAGGTCCCCAGCTTCTCACTGGTGGTTGTGGGTAACAGTGGATCAGTGACTAGGCCCATTATGTGTCACCGCCTCCGTGGTCAAGTGGTAGAGCGTCCGCCCGGAGAGCGGAAGGTCCGGGGTTCGAACCCTGGCCGCGTCATACCAAAAGACGTTAAAAGATGGTACTTGTTGTAACCCTGTCTGGCGCTCGGCATTAAGGGGCTAAAACAAGAACTGGTCGGCTTGGAGTCAGTATACTGTGTCTGAGTGGGGTATTCATGTTAAACTGCGGCATGGTATCTCAGTGGGCTAGCACTATAAATTGGCATCAGTGACACACACACACACACACACACACACACACACACACACACACACACACACACACAGACACACACACACACACACACACACACACACACACACACACACATATTGCTGACTGTGTCATTAATAACATTATGTCAGTAACTCTAAGTGCTCAAATGATGATCCTTTGATCGCCTCCGTGATTTAGAGAATAGTGTGAGTGGAATCAATCAGAGTGGTTCAATTCCCGGCCTTCAGCAACCCATGATTGTCATAAGATGCGACTAACGGGATCGGGTGGTCAGACTCACTGACTTGGTTGTTGCATGTCATCATATCCAAATTGCGTGGATCCATGTCAATGATGTCAATCACTGGATTGTCTGGTACAGACTCAATTATTTAAAGACCGCCATCAGATAGCTGGAATAATGCTGCGATGAACCGAAAATATTATGGTTTAAGTATGAAGCAACGTAAGTATGTGTTGACTCTACCATGGTAATGTATCGCTAATTCATCGCACTATGGCTGTCATTTTCAGATACCTGGAGGAGGCAGTGATAAGTTTGGACCCCAACCACCCCTTAACTGCAGAACATATGCATGGAGTGTTGAACGGACTAACCCAGAAACTGAAACTCTTCATGGCACAACACCCCAACGACAAACTGACACGATCTTTCAAGATGTTGGCCATGGCGTCCCAGTCCCTCATTACATGATGTCGACATCAGCGTAGCGGATGTGAAACGTTTCTGTGATACTACCAGCCCGAGACAACATTTACAACAGTGGCGATCAACAGCAGTATTCTTGTGTTGCTCTAGTTTATTTCAGTTTTACTTAGTGAAGATTTCGATTAGTTTCCATTAATTTGTCTGATGATCTTAGTCAGTTGTGACAAGAACTCGTGTGGAATGGATTCTGGATAGTGCTAAAGCAGATGCCTGGCGGCTGTGGCGCTATCTGTGACTGAGGTGAAACGTGACGCCTTGGAAGCCCTGAAGAGATACATCTGAAGGTGGGATGTCAAGTCGATGTCCAGTTCGGACTGTATTCACTCACCCAGAAACACGAACCTGCTTCACAAACGGGATCTGGATGCAAGGACATGGGGAAGTTTGGACAGAATTCTTGATTGCTGAAGAAATTGTGCCAAAATAGATAGATGGTGCAGATTGTCTTCTGTTTCAGGAGACACTGAAATCGTTAGCGTTATGATGTAAGAGGCGCTGCAGAGATATCAAGTTGTAAAAAGAATTGATGTAGTGTCAGTGTGTATGATGCATGGCTGTATGCAGTGATGAGCAGTGCCTCACTGTATGCAGTGTTGAGCAGTGCCTCACTGTAAGTAATGTGGAGCAGTGCCTCAATATGCAGTGTTGAGCAGTGCCTCACTGTAAGCAATGTGGAGCAGTGCCTCAATATGCAGTGTTAAGCAGTGCCTCGCTGTATGCAGTGTTGAGCAGTGCCTCACTGTATGCAGTGTTGAGCACTGCCTCACTGTAAGCAATGTGGAGCAGTGCCTCAATATGCAGTGTTGAGCAGTGCCTCACTGTATGCAGTGTTGAGCAGTGCCTCGCTGTATGCAGTGTTAAGCAGTGCCTCGCTGTAAGCAATGTTGACCAGTGCCTCGCTGTATGCAGTGTTGAGCAGTGCCTCGCTGTATGCAGTGTTGAGCAGTGCCTCGCTGTAAACAGTGTGGAGCAGTGCCTCGCTGTATGCAGTGTTGAGCAGTGCCTCGCTGTAAACAGTGTTGACCAGTGCCTCGCTGTATGCAGTGTTGAGCAGTGCCTCGCTGTATGCAGTGTTGAGCAGTGCCTCGCTGTAAACAGTGTGGAGCAGTGCCTCGCTGTATGCAGTGTTAAGCAGTCCCTCACTGTAAGCAATGTTGACCAGTGCCTCGCTGTATGCAGTGTTGAGCAGTGCCTCGCTGTATGCAGTGTTGAGCAGTGCCTCGCTGTAAACAGTGTGGAGCAGTGCCTCAATATGCAGTGTTAAGCAGTCCCTCGCTGTTAGCAGTGTTGACCAGTGCCTCGCTGTATGCAGTGTTGAGCAGTGCCTCGCTGTATGCAGTGTTAAGCAGTGCCTCGCTGTATGCAGTGTTGAGCAGTCCCTCGCTGTAAGCAGTGTTGACCAGTGCCTCGCTGTAAGCAGTGTTGACCAGTGCCTCGCTGTAAGCAGTGTTGACCAGTGCCTCGCTGTCTGCAGTGTTGAGCAGTGCCTCGCTGTATGCAGTGTTAAGCAGTGCCTCGCTGTATGCAGTGTTGAGCAGTGCCTCACTGTAAGCAGTGTTGAGTAGTGCCTCACTGTAAGCAGTGTTGAGCAGTGCCTCACTGTATGCAGTTTTGAGCAGTGCCTCACTGTAAGCAGTGTTGAGTAGTGCCTCAATAAGCATTGCTGAGAAGTGCATACAGTAGTTATTCATTTCCCCAAAGTAAGCACAGCTATTTATGTGACATGTTTGTAGTCCATTGACGTACGCTGGTAGACTGTAAGATCTACAGAAGTCTGACCAATGGATGGAGCGGCCAGTACTGAGTGAAGAGCAACCATGACACCTCTACAGTACATCAACACAACACTTGACACCATGACACCTCTGCAGTACATCAACACAACACTTGACACCATGACACTTCTACAGTACATCAACACAACACTTGACACCATGACACCTCTACAGTACATCAACACAACACTTGACACCATGACACCTCTACACTACATCAACACAACACTAACACCACAACATCTCTACAGTACATCAACACAACACTTGACACCATGACACCTCTGCAGTACATCAACACAACACTTGACACCATGACACCTCTACAGTACATCAAGACTACACTGACACCTCAACAGCTTTAAAGTACATCAAGACTACACTGTCACCTCAACAGCTTTAAAGTACATCAAGACTACACTGACACCTCAACAGCTTTAAAGTACATCAAGACTACACTGACACCTCAACAGCTTTAAAGTACATCAAGACTACACTGTCACCTCAACAGCTTTAAAGTACATCAAGACTACACTGTCACCTCAACAGCTTTAAAGTACATCAAGACTACACTGACACCTCAACAGCTTTAAAGTACATCAAGACTACACTGTCACCTCAACAGCTTTAAAGTACATCAAGACTACACTGACACCTCAACAGCTTTAAAGTACATCAAGACTACACTGTCACCTCAACAGCTTTAAAGTACATCAAGACTACACTGTCACCTCAACAGCTTTAAAGTACATCAAGACTACACTGTCACCTCAACAGCTTTAAAGTACATCAAGACTACACTGACACCTCAACAGCTTTAAAGTACATCAAGACTACACTGACACCTCAACAGCTTTAAAGTACATCAAGACTACACTGTCACCTCAACAGCTTTAAAGTACATCAAGACTACACTGACACCTCAACAGCTTTAAAGTACATCAAGACTACACTGTCACCTCAACAGCTCATCTTCAGTACATCAACACAACACTGACACCACAACACTTCATCTACAGTACAACGACACTGCACACAAACAACGCAACACAAAGTTTCAAGGTATATTCCATATTTATGGTCAACACACGTTTGTAGATGTAACAACTCCATAAAAATCAGGCAAGACACAAACTTACTTGGTCAAATCGTTGACGGAATGAACAAATTGAAAAGGTGTGGATTGTAGAGTGGTAGCAACACTTGGTGTAGTATTGGTGGAACGTTGCCAGAATCTGCAATAAATTCTACACCCACACAAGCAAGTACTTTTAATGAAATAACGAGCACACCACTGCATTATCGCTCTGTTTCTTGAGGCACTGTTGCCACTGTGAATCGGTCTGATGAAACATTGGGGAGGACATGTAGCCATGGCAACAAATCCATACTCTTATATTTAACAAGTAACTGGTTTGAGAGTAGAAGAACAAGAATGTGTGATTGCATTTATGGCAAGACATAGCCCTTTATACTTACATCAGTTGTGAGTTAGTAATATAGGAAGCAGTAATCGCAGCTTGTTGATCAGTTGCTGAGGGGGATGTGGCAGTTCTAGAGATTTTAAGTTCCAATACATGTTTTATGTTCAGTGTTGCAAGAAAGTTGCTTAGTGACCAACAGGAATCTGCAGTTATGATTGAAGTAATGAAATGTATGCCCACAAGATGTTTGATTGTGTAAAGGCATACCATTAAATTATTTCAAACAGAACTTCAGATTTCTGTGGATGTCGTGATGTGGAATAACGTACAGTTGGTACTGTTCGGAAACTGAGTTGTGTTGCCATAAGCAGGACCCTCTGTACTGGCCACACTTGTGTATATGTTCTGAGTGAACAAGCATTGTACTTGTGGGAAGCAAGTATTGTTTTTTAATTTGTACATGTTTTGCTTTTATTTGGTGTATGTTGTACAGTAGCAAACTATGTCTGTTTTAACCTCTGCCAAGCCCACTCAGTATCGATATGTATATTGTGTATGTATTTTTTAGAAAAAGAAATATCATTGATACATTTGTTAATAAAATCGCCAACCATGAACTGTCTTGTTTGTATACATGGATATACTTCTCAAAATAAGTAAAAGACACTCAATATTATATGACTATAATTCATCTGCTATGGTAAATCTGTTAATGGTCATGACAATGTAACTGCGGTCAAGTCACAGCAAAAATATCGTGTGTACTTTAACATCATTTTAGTGGTACATTAATTCTGAGAAAGGATGCAATTTGCTGTGTAGAGTTGTGTCCCTTGGGCAAGGCAGAAACCTATGATGGCGGGTTTGATACCCGTTCGTTCGCCCAGATGTTTCTAGGTTTGTCAGCACCATACTGTCCATGCTGTTTCACCAATGTGGTAAACATCCTTTTGCTTTCCTCCCACATTAATCTGGCACCCTTCGATATAACTCTGGAATGCTGTTCAAAAGCGGCATTAAACCTCACTCACTCACTCACTCACTCACTCACTCACTCACTCTCACACTCACTCACTCACTCACTCACTCACTCACTCACTCACTCACTCAGGAGAAACATGAAGCCCCAATAAATAGTTTGGGTGAGAAGATATTCTTTGTGATAATGAAACAGTCCACCACCATAAGATATTATTTGTTAAGGTTGCTGTGTGGTGGCCCACTGGTTAAGTGTTTGCTTACCACCATGACAGTTTGGGTTGGACCTGTTTGGTGTTGTCATCAAGTCAATAATACAGGTAACCGTCAGGGTAGGACGGTAAAGGTACCTATCAAACTATTGCTATACTATTATACACACTGATATGACTAGGCACAGTGGGGTAGCCTAGTGGTTAAAGTGTTCACTCGTCACAGTGAAGACCTGGGTTTGATTCCCCACGTGGGCAAAATGTGTGAAGCCCATTTCAGGTGTCTCCCCTCCCCCTGTGATATTGATGGAATATTGCTCAAAGCACAGTAAAACCTCACTCACACACCCGCTCACTCACTAAAAGGAAATTGCTAAAAGCAGCGTAAAATTATACTCACTCACTCTTATGATTACAATATGGTTTGAAATAGTTTGTTTAACATATCACAAACAAAGATATGTGTTCCTTATATGTCAATGAATGTCGAGTACCCTTCTAACTAGAAGAATTTAAAGTGTAAGCACATAAATGCTGTCAAAGACAGAACATTAGAAAAATGGGGATATGACAAAAAGGCGAACCAAACAAGCAGTTTCTAAAAGGTATTCTTTATGAATGATGCCACGTTTACATTTTCTGACAAATTGCAAACCAATGCACCACGATTTAAATAAACCTAAATAATCCACAAGGACAAGTGACTGATATCCCATTTCCATGAAGTATTGATACGTCTCCTGGCACTAAACGAACGCTCACCAGTAGCTGAAGATACGGGCATTGTAACAAGCGTTTGGACCGCCACAGATATTTGGATACAAACCTTCTTTTGCAAAACCACTGTTACTAATAGGCACGGTGGCTTCCTTTCTGCAGGGACGTCTTGTGAACGGAGGCGGTCGGGTAGCCTTATGGTTAAGGGTCGCTCGTCACGCCGAAGACCCGGGTTCGATTCCCGACATGGGTACAATGTGTAAAGCCCATTTCTGGTGACCCCCGCCGTGATATTGCTGAAATATTTCTAAAAGCGGCGTAAAACCAAACTCACTCACTCTTGCCAACGTGACTTCCATCTTCTGATTTCAATAGATTGTTGCTCAGATGTATATTGCTGCAATTCGACGAACTGTCGAAATACTTTCCCACTTATCCCATCTGTGAGATTATGAAGCTTTATATGCCAAAGTTCTTATATTTGCCCAGCCATGAATATAAGATGTCATAAATGCACCTTTTTGTCTGCCATTTGCGAAAAGAAAACATGATATACAAATGACACCATCTTTGAAGGGGAATACCTTAGTCAGTCATTCTCATCGAGATGGGTTGGATTAAACTGTCATATCACACATCTAATTTCTGTTAATGGGTATTTTATTGATTGCTCACACCTGACATCTGTTGATTCATTATTTTTGATGGGTACAATGTGTGAAGCCCATTTCAGGTGTCCCCCGGCGTGATATTTCTGGAATGTTGCTAAAAGCGGCGTTAAACTGAATTCACTCACTCACTCATTATTTTTGAGAAGTGTAGGACCGGTCATGTTCGGACTTAAGGTCACCTCATGTATGCGAGCCAACGTCAATGCCAGAGAAAGAGCAAGGCGTGTGGGCCTTGTAGGTGTTGAGTTCCAGTAGACGTAGACGTAGACGGAGGCGAGGCGAGGCGGAGGCGGCGGGGTGTCTAGTTTAGCATTGACAACCGAAATTGAAGAATATGTGCTTATATCTCTGCTAGACTTGTTGATATTGTCCCTGATTTTGATTCTTTAACAAAAAAATGAATGAATTCTCTTGAAGTTTTCAACTTTAAGTTTCTTGCTAATGATTAACCATTTATGCAAATGAACGTTTTTAAGCGTTGCTTTCTGAATGAACTTTAATCAGAACATTTTAATTGTTTCTAAATATTAATTTCAAATATAGTTCACAATGGCTGTAAATCACTGTAAACTGTAAATCAGCCTGACACTAAGACAGATGTAGATTTGAGACATGATGTCCCGAGAGGTACACCTGGCACATGGCACTTCGTTAAATATAAACAAATTAAAGACACTTTTATAAACACAGTGACTAAACAAAATCATTGAATCAGCGAAGTAATTTTGGCTATGAGGGGCGGTGAGGTAGCCGAGTGGTTAAAACGTTTGCTCGTCACGCCGAAGGCCCGGGTTTGATTCCCGTCATGGGTACAATGTGTGAAGCCCATTTCTGGTGTCCCCCGCCGTGATATTGCTGGGATATTGCTAAAAGCTCGGTAAAACCTCACTCACTCATTCCCCCAACCACCCACCCTAAACTCACTCACTCACTAGATATGTGTTTGTAGGGGGACAAAGTACAAAGGATCATGTTAAACTTCATCACAGCTGAGGACACGGGATGACTAATCCTTTGAAAATCCCAGAAAATCAAGTCATCTAATCCCTACCTTAACCTCGACCACATAACTCTGTCCTGTGTACAGTCGGTGCCAGTCACAGCCCATTAGACAGCGAGTCAAGTTTTGACTAGATTGTGGGTCGGTGAGGGTAGCCTGGTGGTTAAAGCGTTCGCTCGTCACGCCGTAGACCCGGGTTCGATTCCCGACATGGGTACAATGTGTGAAGCCCATTTCTGGTGTCCCCGCCGTGATATTGCTGAAATATTGCTAAAAGCGGCGTAAATCCATACTTATTGTTGATTGTAGATATGATCAAGGGAATATGTTTGTGATGCAAACTTAGTTCTTCTTACACTCTCTAGGCACCAGGTTTGTGTGTTTATATGTGTGATACTGTCTTGTGTCAAGATTGGCAATGGGTGAGGGACCCTGGAATGTCTGCTAAATACAGGCTACTGTCTTACTGACAGTTTTATTACAGAACTAGATACTAGATACGGCCTTTTTCTGTGAATTGCAATGGAGTATATAGTGAGTTTGAGGAAAAATGGTACAAAAAATACTGAGAAAAATATAAAAAGTGATTTTGCAACATCGTTTAGGGCAAGGGTGTTTAGTGTGAATAGTGATGCCATGAACGACTTGGGATCTTCTTATGGTCATGACATTAACGTGAAGATCAAGCCTTGTGCCCTGTGCTTCTTTTTTTTGAAAATTGGATGTTTTACATAGTTTGAAAAGCAACACAATCAAATAATGCTGATTTGAACTAGATTAGATGACATCGGCTTCACCAGGCAACAATATCACAGAAAATATGTAAAAGAGCATCTAAAAGGTCAAGGTTAAGGTCGGGTTTACCAGGGTGTCACGGGGTCATGAGGGTTGAGGCTTTTGACCAGCCAAAGGATAGCACTCCTGCCAAATTGGCTAAAATGCTGCCGTCAGCTGCCGATAGTTTCGGCCTATTTCTCCCATATCAAAAGGTGTAGAATGTTAAACCGTGCCAAGACCATTCCACACACAGCATCTCCCTATGTCCTCAAACCATTTCTTTTCGAAGTAAAGTTTGGTTTCTATGGCAACCATATCCAAAATCCTAATTTTTTCCACTGATCCCCAATGTATGCAAATAGTGTGATGATACGTGGTGGAAGGCTAGTGTGCTGTGAGTTCTGCACCTACTTTGAGTTTTAATGCCCTTGCCGACACTTTCACTCTGACACTAACTATACGGTTGTAACGGCTGAATCAAGGTCAATATTCAAAATATTGCCAAAAATTGAAAGCTCATGTTAAGTTCCACTACAATCTACACCATTGCCACATTTTAATACATTTTGAAAAACGTGGTAGATTAATAACCTTTAATGCCAGGGGGGCACGGGGGGCACGGGTGGCCCTGTGCAGAGTTGCGTCCCTTGGGCACGCCAGAAACCTATGATTGTGGGTTCGAATCCCGGTTCGCCACGTTTTTAGGTATATCAGCACCATATCCATGCTCGTGGGTTTCAGCGAAGTGGTAAACGTCTGAGGCCTGCATCACTTCGGGCTTTCCTCCCACATTAAGCTGACACACCTTGATATAACTGGAAAACTGTTAAAAGCGTCGTTAAACCCAACTCACTCACTCACTAAATTTGGCCACCTCTATGGTCCAGTTTATAATCGCACCATAACTTTTAGTGACAGAAAGATGGGATCATTAATACAAAGTTTCATTGTAGGCCTTGTAGTTTCAGAAGAGATGTCGAGAAAAACTGGCGTACGTGAAAGATCGAATCTGGATCAAGTATAAAAATATGCCAATAGTCGTATTATAAGTTATTAAGAAAACCACATACTTGTGGCATATCATTCTCATGATGATACATGCAGACATTGCAGAGTTATTGCCAAAAATATCATTTTCAATATGGCTGCCGTGGCGGCCATGTTTAACACTGGATTTGAATTATGTTTGAACATTTAAGAGACAACTTTGCTTTGATCATTCAAAACAAAGTAATAGTTCCATGAGCTTGTAGTTTCAGAGG